TCATCACGCTCGTTTCCTTCAGGCTTTAGTCTTTCTGATTTTCGGGCATTTTTGTATACCTCATCCCATGATAATAAAGGTCTTTCCACCCTTTCATCAATCTGTATTGCAAAATATAAATTTGATTCTTTTTATAACACTAGTAATTAGTATTGTTCAAGAAGAATATAGAGATTATGTGAAAACAGGAAAAGGAAGGGGGGAAAAACTGGCCTCCTCAATTTCCCTCCTCTCAATGTCTTCAAAGATTTCAACTTCATTTAGATCATTCCAGTCAGATAGGCTAGGGTAGTTATATAAGGAAGTATCATTGCTATCAGAATAGGTTTGGTTACTTTCGTGAGATTCATCGACAAGATTATCAATTATCCTTGTGAGGAGTTGGCTGTCATCGTCTGAAGAACTATTTTCTAGTGCGGCTTTTGTCTCGAAAAGATCCCATAACCATGTTCTCTCTTGAAGTTTAGAAACAGGAGATGGTAGTTTAGCGTAGGAAGGATAATGCAACACACTCTCAAGAAGCATAACATGAGCAGTAATACAATCATAAGCTAACATGTTTTTGGAAAGCAGCTTCCCCTCCAGAGCAACAGAAAAGGCTCTAGCTGAAAGCCTTTTTTCTCCTAAAATTTGTGCAAAAGCTGAAACCATTGTGCTTGGGTCATCAGCATTAAAAAGGAAGCCATGGGTGCCATCAGTGATCTGAAAACAATGATATATTGTTAAACATAGAAGAATCATTCAAACATTGGCAAAACAAATAACAGCTCATGGACTGGATGAAGAGACATACATATTTTGTTATAACAGTTAGATTTGGCACAATGATGGGAATTTCAGAGGCCATGGACCGCAATAGCAAAGGAGGGAAAACAGGTTCTTGTCTTGAAGAACCATAGAGAACAATATCAGCAAACACTAACAGATTCCTAATATCATGAGTCAGGGAGAAATGCTTTACGGAACCAAGAGGAAATCCCATATGAGAAGCAAGTTCCTGCAGAAGAAATTAAGATGGTCAGTGAAGCCAAATGGTGAGGGAAAAACATTTACTACCAACCAGAGACAGCACATATTTATGGAAATAAAATAGAGCACATATTCATGACCTAACACCAGTCATCAAACCTCCCTAGTCTAACATGCTACGATACCTAGCAGTTCAAATGCTGTTGAATAGAAATTGTTGTTTTCTGAAGAAAAACATAAGGAATCTCAGGTATGTTCTCCAGATGGCAAATCACAGTGACACAAGGGCTTCCCCAATGGATCTTGATAGAAAGTTTGAAACTAGCGAATAATTATTACCTGGAAAGCAGAGTTATAGGCGTCAGTGTCATTTCCGCAGAAAAAAATGAATTGCACACCCAAATTTTTAGTTTTTGCCATGTCCATAATGTGTGGGGCTGATGCACGCAAAACTGTTGCAAAATCCCATGGTAATTCATCAAAGAACAGGTAGCTCCCAACAACCAAAACAACAACATCATCTTCTTTGCTCCCATACTGATTCCTTGCACTTTCTTGAGTATGTGATGAGCTGTATCTTTTTGTTGCCAAGATATCAACTGGTGAACCAGAAATAACCAAGAAGTTCCCAGTATCAAGGGCCGAATGTAACAACTGAAATAAGATATTTAAGAGTCAGAGAAGCAAATGTTTCTTCTTGATTTAATTATTCCAGAATCTAAAACTGACAGTCACACGTACAGGAAGGTAGCTATCTGGAAACACGACATAAGTGCATGCATTAAAATGAGTTCTCCAATCTTCAATATGATTAGGAATGGACTGGTGCAGTTCGGGATTTCTAAGGAACTGCCCAAGAGCATCTTCATGAATAAGCCAGACCACAGGTAGAAATTGGAAAGGTTCCTGCATAAGACTGAACACGATATGAATGTGCAGCACTGCAGACCGAACAAATGATGTGATAAAGGGAAAAGAAACACTTGGGATGGAAAACTAGGAACAATATAATAACACCTGTCCTTTCCATACAAATTGGATCTTTTGTCATAACCGAATTTATACTATTTTGGGAAAACTTAGTTCTGAAACGTTATAGCTGCTCAACACTCAACAGTCAAATAGAAATGATGCCAAAAGAAAGTTCCAGTTTTATAAAACAAACAGCAATACAAGATAGAATGGGAAGAAGAATACAAGACCCTACATGACTATACAGAAGTAGGTCTAACTGTTCTCTAGATTTAATATTTCAACTTCTGATAACAAAAAAATCAACTGAACGGAATCAACAGTCCATAAATGCCGCATTAAACTAAATTAGCTGATATTTTGTAGAACCGGTGTATGACAGTTACTAGCATTTGCAAATGGTGGGTTAATACTTAACATTGGATAAGATCATATGGTACTGGTAGTTAAAGGGGCAATAAAAGAGTGGGCTGTTGTCCTTCTATATCCTCCTATGCTATTTTTACTAAATAGCAAGGCATGAAGTAGCAGAGAACACAACTACGTAAGTATCCAAGCAGTTGAAGATAGGTAGGTTAAAATTAACACTCACATTGAAACGACCATTTTCCCTTCCAGAGAGCTTAGAAGCACAGCATTGTATCTGTAAAATCAAATAGAAGTCAAAATCTTAAACCAAATCAAGTAAAAGCAAAAGCAAAATATCCTATTGTAAGTTTCCAGCACTTACTTTGACCAATCAATGTACTTCAAGCTCGGAGGGCTGACAACATTTACATGACAAATATTTTCCAAAATATCGTTAGCTTTCCCATCCGCAAATGCTAAAACCTGTTCCATAGCAACTGAATGAATTACTGGAACAAGAAGTGTTATTGACACAAGCATTTCCTTTTGTATGGTGCTTAACATATAGGAGTTGGAGTACGATAATGACCGCCAAACAGTCACATGTTAAAAATGGCAACACAATTTCTAGTACGCTATTCAATGACCATTTTAGCAAAGCAACTCACCTCAACCTCGTAACCCAGATTCTTAAGACTTTTTGCCAAAGTAGCAACCATCAGGGACTGTGCATTTATGTTCATGGTTCCCACAAACTGAAATAATACAGAGCCAAAGTCAACTCTCCAGCATGTAGTTTCAGTATTAAAAATTCATAAGCACAAGATTAAAACGTGCATCTGTCTAGGTAAGCATGTCTGTTCCTTCCGTTTAATAATGTGACCAGTACAGATAAATAATAGTATCGTGCACGCAATTAAACTATTCCACATTTCATCCATAATCCAACCCCGAGTTCCAGTGGATCATTTACAAAGCTAGCATTTCTCACTTGGAAACAAAATGTGCAAACAAATGCAGTGAAACCACTATGCAGCGAGTGATCCATTAGGGTTTATATAAGCGAGCACTCACGAGTGCCAGCCTCACGGGCGCAAGGCCGGGCCACCACCGCCGCTCGGATCTCGCGGCCTCGAGCCGGCTCTCGCCGTGGAACTCCCGCAGCGCCACGCTCGAGGCCGAGAACCGCATGACCCCACCTCCCCCGCCGCCGCCGGGCCGCGGCAGACCCTCGACCCCCTCCTCCGCCTTGCCGCCGTCGCCGATGGGGAGCAGCTGCCACACGACGAGCAGGGACGCCGTGAAGAGCGCGACGAGGAGCGCGAAGAACAGGTGGCTCGGCCTGCACGACAGCCCCGGCCGCCGCCGCCTCCGCGACGCAGCTCCTCCTCCGCCCGCGGACGACGAGGCCGCCCACCCGCCACCGCCCGCGGCGGCGGCGGTGGGGAGGTGGTAGGCGGCGTCCGAGTGGGACCCGCGCCGCCACATTGGAGCCCCCCCACCTCGCCCCCCGCGAACGGCCGCGTCAGTGTGCGCTCCTCCGCCTCCGCGCGGCCGCGCTCGACATGGACGGGAGACGGCCGATCGGGGGCGCGGCGAGGGTCGCGTACGGGAATCCGGCGGTGGCGGCGGCGGCGCGAGGTAGGAGAGGAGGCGGGGTAGGGATCAGGAGCAACCGCCGCCGCGGCGCCGGGGGGGAGGGAAGGAGGCAACGAATCTGCGTGCGGGCCGCGTGGGTGGGGGAGAGGAGTGAGGCAGCTGAAGCTAGAATACCGGAGCTGAAGCGGGAGCCGTATATATCCGTATCGAATACTACCGTACTGTATACGGTGGGGGGAATATAATACTGGTTGTATTTCATACAGGGCAGAGCTTTTTTTTTCAAAGAAAAATACAGCAGACTGGTTAGTGGAGAGATGCCGACTGAAATAATGTCAAACAGTGTTATACAGTGATTTGATGGGTTGGTTGTGCATGTCGATGTGGTTGAAACTTAATCTCCTGAAAACATACTACCTCCGTCCTATAAAAAAACGAATCTAGAACCGGATATAATATATTCTAATACGATAAATCATACGTATATCTAAATTCGCAATACTAGAATGTGTCACATCTGATACTACGTTGATTTTTATGGGACGAATGGAGTATTAGATATAAAGTACAATAAATCTAGATAGAATGTTAGTCAAGATTCGTTATACTATGAAATGTCTTATCCAGTATTAGATTATTGTATTATGAGCGGAGGGTGGATGAAAATTTTGTACTAGTACACAAAAATCTATAATTTTTAACCAATCAGAGGCTTTCGAAGAAATCTAAACATTTTGAATCTAACACTAATGTGGCTAAAAGAACTTTTCCTTTGAACTAAAAACGTACAAGTGCAAAATAATATTAGTATTTGTTTTATTTTTTGGACAAATGGAAGGACTGTATATGAACTTATAGTACAAAATGATTGGATAATATTGCGCATGATGGTGGCATGTGTAATTGTTTTTTTGCATACGTGATATGTGTTATGCTTTGTATTACCAGGTACTTCCTCCGTTTCACAATGTAAGTCATTTTAGCATTTTCCACATTCATATTAATGTTAATAAATCTAGATATATTGTGAAACGGAGGGAGTACTTCTTTGGTTAGTACTATTTTGTATTGACATCTTGCAAATGCCATAATCGGTATTGCCATTTACACTCGAGATTCATAGAGCTTTAGGTTGGAATAAAACAAAGTATAATCAGAAACTCACAATCCGACAATATTAGCTCAAAAGTACTATTGCATATCACAGACACACCATCAGTCCATCGCCGTTTACAAAGGCCAAACAACACACTAACAACCAACGGAATTATTTCTGCGCGTTCTCAAAACCATTGGATATCATATAACGGAAAAAACTTAATTTATAGGCCTGCTACTGAAAAGATCAAAAGACGGTCGATCAGTAGGTGGCACCGTCCTTAACGTCACACTGGGACAGGGTGAAGTAGAAGGGGCCGGCGGAGTAGGTGACCCTTCCGGGGTAGACATGGGAGGGGCGGCACGGCCGCTCGCCAGTCTTACCGCCATTGAAGTTGGTGAAGACGGCGCAACCGTGGTCCCCGGAGGAGGCGAGGCGGACGAGGCATGCTGATGGGTGGAGGTGGGCGCTGCCGACAGTGTATGGCACCTCAATATTGAACATACCCTTGTCATCCGTCTTGTCTGTCCCGTGGTACACCGTCCTTCCCGTCTCCTTGTCTAGGCAGGTGATGCCCACCATGCTCCCTGCAGCGCACATCATCTATAATTATCATCGATTGCCTATGGTTGATAAGTCGCGAAAAAATTAAACGAAACAATAAGGGGTGGAGATAGGAGTAAGACAATTAGAAATATGTTAGCTAGTCCTGCGTCTAAGTATCCATTGAAAACTACACCTCAAAACATATAAGATAAAGGTAAAATTATGTTGCGCTAGCCGAGTTCTAGACTCGAGAAATTTTTGATTTCATCCTTAGAAAGAAATAAGCACTTCACAAGTAAAACTTTTATATTTACCAGTGTTTTAAATAGCGGCTTAAGACATTTAGCGGTTAGCCTTGTCAAACAGCTATAGCGGGCTAAATAGAGCTATAGCGGCTAAATTGTACGTGAGAGCAAATAGCTAGAACCCTTCGCAAATAACTATAGCTGAAGATAGCGGCAGTTATAGCGGGATATTTAAAACCTTGATATTTATACTTAAAGAGCCAATGTTTAAAAATAAAACTAAAATAAAACCCCTCAAAATCAAATATTTTTCTGGCAACGTATGTAAAGCCAACAGGGAAACAATGGGAGTGCATGGCATCAGCCGGCGAGGAAGGAGAAAGCAGCTTGCGGTGGCGCGAAGCGAACCTGGAATGGGCTTGGCGTTGTAGGCGTAGGCGTTCCAGCTCTTGGTGCAGTCCTGGCACAGCACCGAGCCGGTCACCGTGAACTTGGCCGCGCCGTAGTTGTGCCACGCATCGGCGCGCGTCGCCGCCGCCGCCGCCGCCGCGACGGCCACCAGCGCGAGCAACGTCCTCCTCCACGCCATCTCACGTACGCCTGCCTCGGTCTGGATCGACTGGAGGGATGATGATAAGTGTGGTTAGATGACTGCTTGTGAGAGGTGATGATCACTAATCAGGTGCAAATGCAGGTGTGCTTCTTTTATATAAAATCGTGGTGCACGACGTGAACCCGACTTGCGCAAATGTTTTTTTTTGTTTTGTTTTTTGTTTTCTGAGTTGTTGACGACGATGGCCATGGGCGGAAGACGTGCGCGCCATGCGTCTCTCTCTAGTCTCCCCCCCTGTGTCGGTAAGCTAGCTAGGTAGCCTGGTTTGATGGCACGACGAGTTACTTGGTCCGTCGTGGAGGCCACACACGGCCGCCCAGGCCCCAGGGTGACAAGATGCCCGTCAGGAGAAAATAGAGCTTGAGGCTACAAGATGCTCATAGACAAAATGAAATGACGGAGAAAAGCAGAAAACAAACTCTGTTTCTCATGCAGTCAGGTTTATTGATTTGCATTTTGTGTTTTGCTCATGTAGCTACAATAAGTCATCTAGCAGTTTCAGGGATTCCGCAAAACCCATCAGGGAACAGGTAATAGTCATTTGATCATGATGAATTGAATAGCATGTCGGTGATGGCATGTTTTCCTTCAGCATGAAAGCACCAACTCAAACAATCGCTACAAGTTTACAACCATTTTGTCATTATTCATAGAACATTAAGGCCCCGTTTGGCACAGCTCCAGCTCCCAACTCCAACTTACTTAGAGCTAGAGTTGTGCCAAACAGTCTAGATCCTCCGTTTTTGGGAGCGGAGTTGGGAGAGCTGCTCCATAAAATTGTACTACGGGGGTGGAGCTGGGTTTTTGCTGCTCCACAGCTCCACTCCACCCCAAAAGACCCACTACCCTTTAATTCTTTAGTGTATTTACATAAAAATGCCATTGAACTACCCCTACTCACCTCCTCTCCTCCCGTTCTAATTTGACTACCTCTACGGGATAGACCTCAACAGAAAACTGTTGAGTAACGGCAGCAAGTGATTGAGTTCAGTAGTTCCTCATAGAAAATTATTGACTCTAGAGATATGGTAATATGGAGAAGACAAAATTGTTTGAAGCACGCACAGAACCGGAAGCACCCCTTGTTTCAAAGAGAGGAGGACGGGTTATTCATATTTAATTTGATGGTCAGAGGCGAATTGAAAGCTAAGCAGTGGTAATTAAGACCCCCGGAGGAAAATAGGGATGTCTCCTACGTTACCCATTATATGTAGAAGTATCAACGTAATTTCATAGAGTCATTCGATCTGAATGCTACATGAAGAACATAAGCCAGATGACGGAACGCGGAGACCTAGGATGTAGAAGATCATAACATGAGCAATTCGGCAGATTTGGATTCCTTTCCTATATATCCAATCATGTGGTACTTCATCATACGATTCATATAAGATCCATCTGTCTAGAGATCTTCATATACATATAGAAAGTCGTATGCTTTGGAAGAAGCTTGTACAGTTTGGGAAGGGGTTTTTTGAGAGAAAAGAAGAATCTACTTCAACCGATATGCCCTTAGGCACGGCCATACATAACATAGAAATCACATGTGGAAAGGGTGGGCAATTAGCTAGAGCAGCAAGTGCTGTAGCGAAACTGATTGCAAAATAAGGTAAATCGGCCACTTTAAGATTACCATCTGGGGAGGTCCGTTTGGTATCCCAAAACTGCTTAGCAACAGTCGGACAAGTGGGTAATGTTGGGGTGAACCAAAAAAGTTTGGGTAGAGCTGGGTCTAAGTGTTGGCTAGGTAAACACCCCGTAGTAAGAGGGGTAGTTATGAACCCTGTGGACCACCCCCATGGGGGCGGTGAAGGGGAAGCCCCCATTGGTAGAAAAAAATCCACAACCCCTTGGGTTATCCTGCGCTTGGAAGAAGAACTAGGAAAAGGAAAAAATATAGTGATAGTTTTATTCTTCGTCGCCGTAAGTAAATACGTAACTAGGAATATGGAAAATTGCATCTTTGGAATTTGCAATAATAGGATGGGCGAACGACGGGAATTGAACCCGCGCATGGTGGATTCACAATCCACTGCCTTGATCCACTTGGCTACATCTGCCCCTTATCCAGCTAAAGGATTTTCTCTTTTTTCCATTCATCATTATTCTATTTATTCTGACCTCCATACTTCGATCGAGATATTGGACATCGAATGCCACTCTTTAAAATGGAAAAAAAGGAGTAATCAGCTGTGACAAGAAAAAAAACGAATCCTTTTGTAGCTCATCATTTATTGGCAAAAATAGAAAATGTCAATATGAAGGAGGAGAAAGAAACAATAGTAACGTGGTCCCGGGCATCTAGCATTCTATCCACAATGGTTGGCCATACAATCGCGATTCATAATGGAAAGGAACATATACCTATTTACATAACAAATCCTATGGTAGGTCGCAAATTGGGGGAATTCGTACCAACTCGGCATTTCACGAGTTATGAAAGTGCAAGAAAGGATACTAAATCTCGTCGTTAACTGAATTCAGAATAGAAAGATTCAAAATAAAAAAAAGAAATACCCAATATCTTGCAAGATATTGGGTATTTCTAGCTTTTCTTTCTTCAATATGTTAGCAGAAAAGCCTTATCTATTAAGAGATGGAACTTCAAGAGCAGCTAGGTCTAGAGGGAAGTTGTGAGCATTACGTTCGTGCATTACTTCCATACCAAGATTAGCACGGTTGATGATATCAGCCCAAGTATTAATTGGCTATCAACTACATATTGGTTGAAATTGAATCCGTTTAGATTGAAAGCCATAGTACTAATACCTAAAGCAATGAACCAAATCCCTACTACAGGCCAAGCAGCCAAGAAGAAGTGTAAAGATCGAGAGTTGTTAAAACTAGCATATTGGAAGATTAATCGGCCAAAATAACCATGAGCGGCCACAATAATATAAGTCTCTTCCTCTTGACCAAATCTGTAACCCTCATTAGCAGATTCGTTTTCAGTGGTTTCCCCGATCAAACTAGAGGTTACCAAGGAACCATGCATAGCACTAAATAGGGAACCGCCGAATACACCAGCTACACCTAACATGTGAAATAGATGCATAAGGATGTTATGATCTGCCTGGAATACAATCATAAAGTTGAAAGTACCAGATATTCCTAAAGGCATACCATCAAAGAAACTTCCTTGACCAATAGGGTAAATCAAGAAAACAGCAGTAGCAGCTGCAACAGGAGCTGAATATGCAACAGCAATCCAAGGACGCATACCCAGACGGAAACTCAGTTCCCACTCACGACCCATATAACAAGCTACACCAAGTAAGAAGTGTAGAACAATTAGCTCATAAGGACCGCCATTGTATAACCACTCATCAACAGATGCAGCTTCCCAAATTGGGTAAAAGTGCAATCCAATCGCCGTAGAAGTAGGAATAATGGCACCAGAGATAATATTGTTTCCGTAAAGTAAAGAACCAGAAACAGGCTCACGAATACCATCAATATCTACTGGAGGGGCAGCGATGAAGGCGATAATAAATACAGAAGTTGCGGTCAATAAGGTAGGGATCATCAAAACACCGAACCATCCGATGTAAAGACGGTTTTCGGTGCTAGTTATCCAGTTGCAGAAGCGACCCCACAGGCTTGTACTTTCGCGTTCTCTCTCCTCCCCCATCTTTCTCCCGAGTCCCAATAGTTGTGGCGGGCGGTGGTGGGCGGCATCGGCGGCGGCAGGCGGCGTCGGCCATAGCGGCGGAGGAGGAAGAGGGATCGGGGGCAATGGCGTCGGTTGCTGCGGTGGAGGGCGCGGCGGCGGCGCTCCGGTCAGTGCTATCCCGCGGCGGCGGCAGCAGGCACACGACGGTAGTAGGGCGACGGGACGACACGCGGGCGGTTGGCAGCGAGCTAGCGGGCAGCGGCCGTCGGGCAGTGGGCGGCGCGCGCTGTGACGATGCGCGGGAGGCGTCCGGCCGGCGGCGGGCGGGGCACGCGGCGACGACACGCGGGAGGCGGCCGGCCGGCGACGGGCGGCGCGCGCGGTGATGACGCGCCACCGGCGGCGGGAGGCGCCCTGGGATTGGGCTGCCGCGGGTAGGTTTCCTTTTTTTTTCAACTTTTTTTGCATTTTTTTTTGCAATTTTTTTCAGATCTAGAGCTGAAAACTAGCCAAACACTTCTCAACGAGTCTCGGAGCTAGCTCCCACTGGAGTAGGAGTTTGGAGCCCTACCAAACGGGTCCTAAACAGCCAGTATGTTAAAAATTGAGATAACCGCCAACATCAGGTATCAAAGGGAACCTCTCTGATCTTGGTTAAACTTCAAAATTGGGCAAAAAAAAATGAAAACAATTGATGCATTCCTCTCAACAAGGCACAAACTTGTCTACACAGATATCGCATCCAAAACAAACCTGAGGTAAGATTGAGAAACAGAAAGGGCACCACATGATTAATAATTAAGATAATACATAATCTCAGCAACAAATTAATGACATCGCATCCTCTTTGGTTTAATATCCATACTAAACTCATTTATATAGCTAAACTACTATCATGCAATAGCTTTTCTTTCAAAGACAGAGGCCACGGGCCACCGGAAAAATCGGAAAAGTTCAGATAACACATGACCGAATCTCCGACAGCACATTCTTTGTAACATCATTACTCCCAGAAATTCACTTTGCACAGCAATGTTATCGACATTGAAACCCCTGATACCAACCAAAAGGGTGAAACTCCCACTGTCTCCTTTTATTTAGTGCTTCTGATAAATGCGCACATAACTATGCAACCATGTTTCGAGTGAAATCGACCAATATGCCATTTAATAATAACTCTAGCAAGTAAAATCTACCATAACTATGCACAGACTTTCCAGCCAGCAACTTGTACCAGTACTTTGAGATTTGAGTAAAATCTATGCATACTATTCCAAGAACAAAAGACATACTTTAAGAACTATCACTCCATATTCAGCATTTGCAAAACTAGCATGCAGAATTACACGGTCAGGCACCAAAAATAGAGACATGTTGGAATCTGATTTGCAGATCTAAAGGTTCTGTAAGATAATCTAAGATACAAATAAAGATCAGACACAAAACATATGTACTTTAAAGACCCATCAACATTACATTCGCATAGAACGAATATCCCAACTTAGACGCAAACATCAAATCATGACATTCATTAAGAACATGTCCAATTAACAAGTTAACATCAATAAAATAGAACAGCAAGCTGATTCCCGGTACTATTGGATAAAAAAGAATGTGTAATTGAGCTGATTCCCGATACTATTGGATAAAAAGAATGCGCAATTGTGTTAAACCATGTCCTGTCATTATGACCCTAACAAAGTTTCCCTTACCCCTGGCTCAAAATTACAACTAAGATTACAACAGCCTCAATTGAATCACTATGCGGAATGTTACAAGTTACAACAAGAAGCAAGCTCATAACTAAATTCAATTAGCTAAACATCTGCAGGAGCTGACACCCTATTTGGCAGATATGTGATACCACTAGATGACGAGATCATAGCTGATATAAAAATTCAAGTGTTAATAAGGGAAAATACAGGCAAGCTCACATTGAAGAGATGATGGTGGATTAGCTGGAATATCTGACACAAATTGCTCAAAATTTATAGCATTAGAACAATCCACATTACTCAGTGGAAGGAGTATACCAAATACTATTGCTTAAAAAGAATAAGTATAATCGTGTTCAACCGTCACTCAGTCGTTATTCCCTAGCAAAATTTCGTTTGCCCCCTGGCTCATGGTACTACTAGAATTACAACAGATCCAATTGAATCACTCATCTGAAATCCCAAAAATCCATTTGGGCAATCAAATCTATCTGTGCCTCAGCGAATACGCACTTAAGATCTAGATCTTAAAAGCAGAATGCAAACAAAACCTTATGAGCTCGACTTGGCTCCATCCAAAGCAACCGCGGCCGTCGCCGACTCTTGAGAGGCAGCGGCGGCGGCGGCGGCCTCCTCCTCGAGCTTCTTCTTGTTGCGCTCGAGCGCCTCGCCGACCTCCTTGGGCATGTACTTCTCGTCGTGCTTGGCGAGCACCTCGGTGGCGCTGAAGAAGCACTCGCAGTCCCGGGCCTTGTCCGAGACCTTCCTCCCCGCGGTGTCTCGGCGGAGGTCGTCGGTGAACGGCTTGAGGAAGCCCTCGACGACGACGGAGTGGCCCTCGCGGAAGAGGTCGGGTAGCGCGCCCTCGTAGCGGACGAGGACGTCGGTGATGAGGTCGGTGACGACGAACTCGATCTCGGAGGAGGAGGCGGAGGGGTGGGCGACGGAGCCCTCGAGGACGAGCCCCCCGAGGCGGACGCGGGACTTGGACCGGTCGGTGGCGTAGCGCGCGAGCGCGTCGGTCGGGGTGAGGTAGAAGACGAGCTGGTCCTGGAACGTGGCGAGCACGGTGACCACGAACCCGGCCGCGCACCCGAAGGTGAGCGCGTACGTCCACAGCCGCCTGCTCTGCAGCTGCCGCGCCCGCGCCCCGATGTCCGTCGCCCGCGGCCGCGCCGGCCCGCGCCGCGCCGCGGAGGAGAAGAACCGCGCGGGCCGCCGGAGGAAGGAAGCCACCGGCGTTCCCCCAACCTCTCCGGCGGCGGCGGCGGCGGCGCGTGGGATTGGGACGGGGCTGGGCGTGTGGAGGAGGGCGGGGAGGAGGCGGCGGGAGGAGAGGAGGCGCGAGGACGCCATGGGTGGGGGATCTGGAAGGTGCGGGAAGCGGAGCGGAATTGGGGAAAGAGGCGAGGCGAGGGCGAGGCGTGCGCCTGGTTTGGCGGCGGATCGGCTTGCTGCCCACGCCACGGCCGCACGCCGGAGCAAGTGGGGGGAGGTCAAACCGTCAAAGTGGGCTGGCTCTTCCGGGCTGCGGCGTCTCTCAGGGTGGGCCCAACCCAATAAGCGTTGACCAGGGTCTGGTTTGAACTGCAGTAATCTGAACGAAATTCGATTGAAATGTTTCAGTTCCGGTATAGTTTGACTAAGACCTTGTTTAGTTGGGAAAAAATTTAGGTTTGGTTGTCACATTGGATATACGGACACACATTTAAAGTATTAAACGTAGTTTAATAACAAAACAAATTATAGATTCTGGCAAAAAACTGTGAGACGAATTTATCAATCCTAATTAATCTATCATTAGCAAATATTTACGGTAGCACCACATTGTTTATCAATCCTAATTAATCTATCATTAGTAAATATTTACGGTAGCACCACATTGTCAAACCATATCGTAATTAGGCTTAAAAGATTCGTCTCACAATTTTACACGTGATCTGTGTAATTGTTTTTTCCTTACATTTAATACTTTATGCATGTATCCAAATATTCGATGTGATAGTGTAAAATTTTTTGTTTTAGGAACTAAACGGGGCCTAATATTCTCGTCTTGTTCTAAAAAATGAAAAAAGGTGCCTACGGTGGCTATCGCCTACCTGAGTTACAACGAAACAGGCATCAAACACAGCCCACGGAGAAACGACTAAAAGGCAAATTGGCGACTTCTTTTTGAAGAGAAAAGAGCGTGAGATTGTGCCTTTTCAATTGAATATGACGGGAGGAAAAAGAGAGGGGCAAATTGGCAACTGAAATGAATCAATTGGAACAAAGACTGAAATGAATCAATTGAAACAACGAATGGCCAATATTCAGAAACAGGCTATAAATGGGAAACACGTCGTGACATTGTGAACCTAGGATGTATGTGACGATTGATGAGAGTCCAAGTGTAGTGTAACAAGCGGTTGATAACACATAGCACATGAAGAAGCTGAACATTTCTTCAGCCAAGATGTAAAGAGTTTTTAGTAATCAGTAATAATTCAGTACCCCGTGGTGTGCCTGACACTACAGTGGGGTAGTTAACTTATGCTATATCTGATGAAATTGTCCACAAAGTGGCATTTCAGTCCAATACACTGTGACGAATGATCTCATGAGGCAAAATAGACCAAATTCAGCATTGGAGATCGACTGCCAACATTGCTGATCATTCAGGAAGCGAGTAGAGTTACAACTCAGGTTCTTCAGGTGAGCATGTGCCTTTGCAAGGGGCATCAGTGCACCGGCAAACGGGTTGTCCCGAAAGCTCCCATCCATTGAACCCACGTTCCAGCACCATGATGTTCTTTGTTCCTGATTCTTCCTTGGTCTCAGATAGATAGTCGGAGAACATCTTGGCACACGATGGACCTCGCACCTGCAGCGTGATTTGATCTCACTGTGTAAGAAATATGCACTTTTGCATGTTATCTCAAATAAGAATATCAGGCGGGAGAGCACAACGATATGCTTGATTATTATATAATAATGAGCTAAAAAGAGATTAGAAAACTTGCCCTTTCCATCTGCTATTAATAAATGTGCTGTTACAATATAATAAAAAACATGAGCTAACGCAATCAGCAATGACGACAGCGTTCTAGATGCAAAAATCGAACATGGTACCAACTCAGTGGATGTGGACAAGTATAAGTTAACAAAGAACACTCTCTATTATTGATAATATTAGAAGATAATGCAATGCTTCAAAAGTATTAACTGGGGATTTCCAAAATCTTTACTATAGAAAGCATCAAAATCAGAGTTTGAAAGACTATCTGCTTGAACCAGAAATAGGTAGCCTTTCATTTATTTTAGATAATGGATATCAATCCGGCCTCTACATCCCTAAAGGACGTGAAGCACATCAAACAGAAATTGACCCCAGAAAGGTAAGTCTAAGTCATTACTGATAGACGCTGTTCAAGTTTAGGTGAAAACCAGTGATGTTCCGCATGTATGGATTGCAGTGGTACTGTGTTATTCCATTTGCAGTGGATGGAAATAGGGAAACCCTTAGAGCAAGAAAATGTTAAACCTGAATGACAGGTCCACGTATAAGTTCCTGTATCACCAATATCGGAAATTTTGTCTCGACAGGACTACAATTTGCTAGGACATTTTTCAGGCAAATTAACTCCAACGTGAAGGGAATAACTCCTGATATCATATCTCAAAAAGCATCCTGGTTTAGATTCAAGCCACCAAGTGGATATTAAGAATCCTAAATTCCTAGTGTTCAATTGAAACAAGACCATTCAGCAGGACCCGAAATCTTAGTCCAACCTTTAGCTACAAACGTTGCCAGAGAACTAGGACAGATCATGCCATCCAAACAGGTAATCTAAGTTGCAGACAACAGGCACTTAGCCTGATGCCTTTTATGGTGTATATCTCAATTCTTTAAGCTCCATTCAACAATGAATAAAGCAGTACACATCTCATGACATCTACCCAGATCAGTACTAAAGAGTAAAGAAGCTAACAAATTCATACTTCATCGGGTAGTGACAACAATAGCACGATGGCGAAGGTTCAATGATAATATAGCTAGGAGACTAAGATAAGCTTTCGATTTTTCCTATCAGAAACCACGCAATCGAGTAACCTAAAATACGAACCACACGATGTCCTGGTAAATATCAGTAAATCAAACAACGTTGTTGCAAGGTGATTGGTGCCATGTGCCTGCATCCTGTAGGAGATCGGGTACAGTAATCGCAAATTTGCAAAGTGCCTGGCATGAGATGTATGGGGGATCGGACCAACCTTGCTGAGGGCGCAGTGGAAGACGACGGTGTCCTTGTCGCCGGTGGCACGCGCGAGCTCCGGCAGCCGCGCCGCGAAGCTGCGGCTGGAGAAGTGGTGCGACCCCCCGATGTGCGCCTGGTAGCTCCTCTCCTCGTCCCTGCAATCCCCCACCACACATAGAAAAAAACGAACTATCTCATCAACATCAGCCACCAAATCAGCGCGGCGGAGGGTCGGAGAGAGACGAAGAGCGGAAGCGAGCGCGCGGCACCTGACGTCGATGATGGCGACGCGGGGGTTGCTGCGCGCCATGGCCAGGAGCTTCGCCGCCGACACGTACGACACGCTCCGCGCCATCCTCCCCGCCTCCGCCTTCCTTTCCCCTCTCCTCCGAGAGAAAGGCGTACTGATGAGGAATCTGCACATCGAGTGGAGGACCCTTTCCTCCTTCGGAGACGAAGCTATTTTTGCAACTTGCTCCTCACAATTCAGAAATCCCTGTCTAAACTATTTTTTGCAACTTGCGCCTTGAAATTCCCATACCTAACCTAGGCTACGCCTTTCACAAATTTCAAAATGGAAAAGATCTCGTCAATAAAGAAATTTGATATTTTAAGAAAGAAAATATTTAGATTTTAGAAATATAAAATTTATAAAATACATTATAAAATATATAGATTTTGGAAATATAAAATTTATAAAATACATTTTAAAATAGTCATTTCTAGGGTAGAAAAGATTCACAATTCTGGGAACACCGTTAGAAGGGAAATACCCGATTTATTATTTTAGTCAAATCCCACGGTTAAGGTTCCAAATTAGGTAAGCCCAAGTCAAAACCTATGGGCAAAGTTTAAAATTGGGTTGAAATTTTAAATTGGAGAATTGGCAGGGGCCGCGCGAACGCGTACCCCCTCTACCACAAATTATGACGTCCACTCTCCCGCTTGGGGAGATGGTAAGCCAACGCGCCCACCAAGTGCAATGTGGGCCATTGGCCTAGGCCACGGCTCTTCTTGATCGGCCGTCGACCCCGTCCAGGTAAGTATGTTGCAACGAGGGCAGGGGTGCCCATTATATACTGCTCCTCCCCTCCCCCACCTCCTCGAATCTCCGAGGTGGTACTAAACTTATAACAGCGAGACACAACGCCCCTCCGCGGGTGCGGCGCGGACAGCCGGACACCAATCTATTCCTGGGCCCATTTCTACGGCCCATTGGAAAGCCCACGAGATCCAAAGGCCCAAATCTTTTTCGCTCCTGCGCGCCAAGCTTTTCAGGCGAAATTTTCATGGCGCCATTGCGTCCAAAATTTCCCCTTCTCTCCGATCCCCAATCCCCACGACGGCGATGGAGGAGGCCGGCGACGAGGAGGGAGAGCAGGGGCTTCGCCTCGGGGGAGTGGGGGACGGCGCCGACGGCGAGGAGGAGGTGGCTCGAGGAGTGGTGGCGCCGCAGGTGCTCGAGCTGAGCTCGTCCAGCTCGGGCGAGGAGGGGGGCTCTTGGGAGGAGGAGGAGAGCCAGGGATCTGTCGAGGTGACGAGAGGCGGGGGTGGAGATCGCGAGGCTAGGGTTTCCGAGAGCCGGGACAGCGCGGAGGTGAACGGCGGCGAGGCGGAGAGCCAGTCCCTTCCCGGCTGCCCCATTTGCATGAACGCGTGGACCGCGGATGGCGCGCATCGCGTAAGGTGAGGAGATTTTTTTTTTGTTTTTACTAAATTCGTGGAATTGCGCCATATGCTTCTATGTTTTGATTGTTCTCATGAGTGCATATCTTAAGTTGCTAACTGTGTGATGCTGTATATCTAGTTGCATTCCTTGTGGGCATGTCTATGGCAGATCTTGCTTAGAGAGATGGTTACTGCAGTGTCGGAAGAAACCTGCGACAGTATGTTGTTCAATGAATCTAGTTCTGAATTATATATACAACCTGTAATGTTATTTGGAGAACTCCTTTGAATGACCCCATGTTTATGTTTTCAGTGTCCCCAATGTGGTAGGAGGTTTAAACTAAATAACATTATCAACCTCTATGCACCAGAGATTTCTGTTCCAAATAATGATCTTGAAAAGGTTAGCTTTGCCTCGTTTCCTTTCTTTGGAGGTATTTCTGCCCATGGGCTGAAACGTGTTTGATTTATGCAGCAAGTATTGTCATTGAGGGAGAAAAATGAATCTCTTGAGAAGCAAGTAAGCTACTCCTTGTACAGTATTTTGTACATGCTTATACATGCTTTAACAGAACATTATTTTGTACGATGTGGTGTGTACCTTCGAACCGTTTCAGTTCAATGTAATAACTACTGACTATTTTCATTTCCGCGAGGAAAATGTAAATGTTTTGTTGTTGGTTTATAGGACACTGTTAGCTACTGCCATGACCCTTTCCTATAACTATTTTATGCAGCTAAAATCGCCACAAGTTCCATGTATCTTTTCTAACTTAAGCTTTCTTAACATTTTGATTCAGAATCAAGAATTGGTCCAGGAGATAAATGAGCACAAGGTACTTACCCAATTTCTTTTGTTATGGTATCACTTTTTTTAGAAGGTGAATGATATTTTGACTGCAAACCTTGCATCTAATTTACATAGGAAAAGAAATGCGACAAGCATTTTTGTGTATAGATAATGTTTGCCAAGCGTATTCAACATTTCTTTTTTTAGCAAAGGTCTCCCTTGTATGTTTCCTTAATCCTTATTTAAATCAAAGTTGTTAGATTAAATATCTTTTTTTTTTTTCATTGGCCTTTCCAGTGTCAGGAAATAAAGTTTTCTTTCCATGGAGCCTCATGTTTTTTCCTTTATGTTTCCTTGTATGCAGAGGCAGATTATACTGCAGCAAAATTTCATAAATGAATCAAGCTTAAAGAGAAAGGTAGCTTTTCTTAAATTTTTAGTGATTAACCATGATTACACAAGCCTTGATGTTAACATTCTTTACAACAAATTGTGAAGAAAATGGCAGATCAATCATCACATGGAACAACAGATGCAGATTCAGTAGCATCTCTTACAGCAGATGATGGTCATAGCAGTCCTTGCAGTTTTGTTCTCCAGGTTTCTCTCTAGTCTCTATATTTTATGTTTATCTGGGTTCCAGCTTCTATTATTATATTATACTTGATCAATCAAACTCTAGATCTATTTGCTACTCCATTTCCATTTGGTTGTGCCTAATTTAGCTATGGTCATGTAGTATGAGCAGGAATACTTACGATGCATATAACTTGCTTGTCATGCCAACTTCAGCAATACGGATGTTTGAGCAGTTCACAATCACCTACAGACTACAGAAAGAAAAACTGGCCAGATTTAATTTATTGCTCTATTGGACTTATAATTTTTCAGTCCAATACTATTCCCTGGCTTCCTTTCATGTATTGCATACCTCAATAAGCAAGAAATATTCACAAGCGTGACAAGACAATGGTTAAAAACCTATACACGTGTTGCAGGAAAATTGACCTTTTACTCAATCTTAGGTTACCCTATCATTTCTGGCTATCCATGCCTTTTTCTATCGAACAGTTTACGGTCAAATAGTTGTAATCTAGATTTTGAGTGGGAGCTATTGTAGGTATGCTCAGGGATGGTATAATTATTAAATAGGTATTGAGATTTTATCCTCCCTGAATGTTCCATTCACTTTTCTTTAATCAAAGAACTGCGTTTTGAAATGGTAATTATGTTTTGTAGAACGAGTTTTTCCTTGATGGAGCTCGAGTCATGGGCATAGATGCATCGAGCCAGATTATACTCACTTCTGGCAGGGCACCTGGAATTGGTGCTGAACATGTCCTCACAAAGGTACATGTTCTAAACTTGATGCTTTCCCTAATGATTTTATGTAACCTATCCTTCTTCTGATTATATTTGGTCGTTTATTCATATTGTGTACCTTTAATTCTTAATTTTGACAGCTCAGCATGTCTAGACAGGGATTGCAGAAAATCCACCTTCCATCTGATACTAAAGCTATCAGGGATATCTGTATACTGCCTGGGGGTCATGTTGTTTTTGCATCACTAGGCAAGAAGTTGTCACTTTTAAGGTCTATCTTGAACATGTTCAAATTATTTTTTTCACAACACATTTACTCAGAAGTTTGATTTTTGTTCTTGTGTTTTATTTCCCAGCATGACAACTGAAAGTGTCGTCCTTCATTATGATCTACCGGTGATTCTTTGACCTTGCAGTTTCACAACATTCGAAACTATTTTTTGTTACCTACTTGTTGATTCGAAAGTGCTCACCAAAAGTTATTCATTCACAATTTTTTGTGGCTAACTCCATCTCCCACTTTATTTCATGAAAGCACATTCTAGATATTATATATGCATTTTCTTCTCCTGGAGGTGCTATTTTGGTTGTCATGTCATAACCCTGAAGCTCTTTAAATATGGAAATGCAGCACGTTTTTCATGCCAATTTACATTTTAATCTTTACGAGATCACCAAGTTTGCAATCTTTATAATTTGAAGAGTATATGCATATTCTTTAAAAAAAAGCATCATGATACTTTTTTTTTCTGACAGAGATGCATGTAAATTTTCTTTGCCTTGATCTAAAGCTGTTGAGTGAAAAAAAATTTGAATCTTGACCTGTTATTTTGGATTTCATTATCTTGCAGGCTCCTGGCTGGTCCTGTTCAGGCGATCAAAATAGTCCGAATCACATATATGCTGGACTACAGGTTGAGTTTTCAGTATTTCGTGCAGTTCTTCCTTAACCATTGTGTGCTCTTCGAAGGGTTGACTAGAAATCTCTATTGATGTTTCACAGAATGGCATGCTGTTGACCTTTGATATTCGCCAAACTGTTGCACCGTTGCATTCCATGATGGGTCTATCTACACACCCTGTTCATACGATCCACTCTGTTGTAGATGGCGGTGGTTCCAGGAAGGTCATTTCTGCATCTTCCATAGGACCCTGCATCTGGGATGTTGACGGGAGCAGAAACAGGTATGAAACAGTTTTAAAACTTACAACAAAGTTCATAGTTCTTTGTGGTTTCCAATGTTCATTTTTGCTAGTGTTTCTGATCAGGCCAGATTTGCTAAATGGAATGGAAAACCACGGAGTCTGCATCTCTCTTGCGTGCAATCCTCCATCAAGTGATCTCCTAGTGGCTTCCTTCCGGCCAAAAGTTGAGCTGTCCGACGACGGCACATCTCAAGCCGGCAAATCACAGTCACCGACACCCTCTGCATCAGGGAAGCTAGGCTGCCATGCACTCATAAGGAGGACGAGCAACACGTCCTTCGCCAGAGACCAAATCTGCAGAGGCAATGTGAGTGGATTGCGAATGTCCAAATCCGCAATCATACCCTTCACCGGAAGAAGCAATCAGCAACATCTCTTCGCCTATGGCGACGAGTCGCTGCGCGGAGTCCGGACATGGCGGCTGCCTTCACTCCAGACGTTTGCTGATCTCAGGCCACACCGGCAACCGATCCTTGATCTGAGGTTTGCAGAGAGCTCGTCGACAGGGGAAAGGTACCTTGGATGCTTGAGCGAGGACAGGCTGCAGGTTTTCAGAGTAAGGTAGCCCGTAGCAACAACATCAGAGACAGTCATTTGACTTCAGTTCATTGTCTCTGTCTGTTAGCAGCTGTTCCCTTTGCTGCTGTGTTATACTATAGTATAACACATCAGCACTTTGGTTAGGTTTGTTGTACAAGCACAAGCAAGTCTTGCAATCTTTCTCTGTACAGTACTGATCTCTAGAGCAGATGTCTAGTGCATAACATCATGTGTGATTTGTTTTGGGTGATAAAACCATGTATTAATTTTGTACTAGTATCATGAGTGGTTGAATCTGCCACAAAAATCAAAGGTACAGTTGGGTAGTGATATGTCATACCATTGATGCTCAGGGCACTGATATTTTGTCCAGTTCTTATCAAATCATAATCACCTCATCTGTCACTGTATTGTACCATCACAAATTCATGTTTGCTCTTTGTGTACCTTGGCAAGTTCGGTGGACTCAGCATTCTCAAAGTCTATACTCATTCCTCTACCAACACAACAAACTAGTCAAAGAGGGTTGATAGCATAGTACAACTAGAACTTCAATTCTGCAAAATAGACAAATAATAATCTGTGATACTGCATCGCTTCAAAGTTGATAAAACACTTACGGGGCTCAATTAAGCTCATGATATAACTAATGAAGAATAAAGAATTTGATCAACTTATGAGACAGTAAAACACTTTCCTCAACCAATACAAACTAGTGGCAGAAAGGATTGTTATAGGCAACAACATACTCTGTAGCTCAACAAGAGCCTCAAACTATACACTACCGACAAACAATTTGTGACAATGCATTGCTTCGAAGTTGATAAACACTTAAACAATGCAGCATGACACAACTTTTTTTTTTAGATAAAGGTATTTTTTTTACCCGGCCTCTATATCCAACCGGATGTATACAGTCCATTTAAATTGGGAATTTGGCCCTTCAAAAAACCCAATATGAAATTTGCTCATATAGAAATTTTAACTCAGGATCTTATGGTGCTACTTAAGTCACTGCAACCACATTATGATACAACTGACGCATTGCATACGATAATGATTTTAATCAACTTATGCACGCCTCAACTACCAAATTGCAGCTGTGCAGCATGCAGTTCACACTAATTCGATCACACTTCACATGAATCCAACGAAGCAATGAGCCAATGAGCAATAATCTTGACGCTGTTCATCAGCACTCGGGGTAGAAGGTGTGATCCCTGGAGTAATCCTGGCAGTAGTAGTAGACCATGGCGTTGCGCTGCGCCCACGCCATGGCGGCCTCCTGCTGCGGGCTGAGCGCCGCGGAGCCGCCGCCGGACGACGCCGGCACGGGGCTGCACGCCGGCGGCGCGGCGGTGGCGCAGCCGCCGACCTTGAGGTCGGCGAAGCGGGAGACGAAGGGCTGGTAGCGGTAGTCGGCGCGGTAGCGGCCGCCGTCGGTGGCCCAGTCGGAGGCGTCCCAGATGGATCCGTACGCCCACATCTCCCGCTCCGGGAACGTCCCCTCCACCTTCTTCTCGTACCTCCTGATCGGCACGTCGTCCACCAAGAACCTGACCACTCGCCACCGTCGGCAGCAGCTTGCTTAGTTTAATTAATTACTACCTCGCACTAATTTAATTTGATTTGTCGGTTAAAAATCACACTCACTAGTCCAGTACTACAATTACTGCCCTATGAAATGACATATATATATATATAATGATAAATACTGATTATAGAAAAACTATGGGAAAAAACTCGGAGAACAAACAAAAAAATTATATGTCATTTCATAGCATGACCTGCGCTATGAAATGATATATATAATGATATTCATTTTGATCGATGCAATTAATTAGGATCTCGATGAAACGGAGGAATTTTAAATAAATTATGTAAGATGCTTAACATGAGTACTCGTATTTATGGCTAATTATTCTTTTAATGATAGGCGGCGTATCAATCTATAGTAGGACGTCTTAAGATATGCTGGTCTAGTCTTTCGGAGATGCTTATAGGGATAGGGTATACCGAATATGTGTGTGCGTTCATAAGTGTGGATGTGAGCGTTTGTACTGTATTTCTAAATCACGTAAAAACCCTGTAAAATTCGTTACGTTCGAAACAAGCTCTAATTTACTGATTGAGCACACGGTTTTTCAACGATCGCCGCATGAGTTACATGCAAACTTACATGAGACTTTGAATGCTTACAAGATTTGGTCGGGGTTCCAGAGGATGGCGTAGTGGTGGAAGCCGGCGGTGGGGTCGAACCAGAGGTGGAAGCGCATCTCGCGGCCGACGATGTTGCCGTCGCCGGAGCCGCGCACGTAGACGTTCGTCTGCAGCGTGTACGGCTCCCCCGGCACCGTCCCCAGCAGCTCCATGTCGATCTCGTCGTGGTGCCCCGGGTACTGCTCCGTGTTCGACAGCTGCATCCATACAACACAAAAACATAACTTTTTCAGCGAAATTCTACTGCACATTTCACTGAAATTTGCATGACAAAAGTTGATCAATACGTAGAAGGCCGTGTTGACGCCGGCGGTGTAGCCCGGCTGCACCCTGATCGACGCCCCGAAGTAGCCGTTCCGGTACGACCGTGTCGACTTGAACCCGCTCCCTATCAGCATCGAATCGACCGATCAGTTCAACCCAAAAGCCGAAAAGTATTTACAAGTCAACTACCAGTTTCACTCAAAGGCTTAAGATGAACAGAGAGTACAGACATACCTGAGCTACGGTCCATCCACAGGGTGAGAGACTTCTGATCCTGGGACAGGGTCTGGTGCTGTGGGCCCCACAGGGTGCTGTACCCTTCATAGAAGGCCATCGACCTGAACATCTTGCTTGGGTAGTAGCCAGGAGAAGGCTGAGCTTCTGATGGATGCAGTAGCAGCAGCAGCAGCAGCAGAATCAGAAGAGGAATGCATGCTGATCCTGGGATGTTACCACTACCAGGCCTTGCCATTTTGTCAGTTATAGTGATGTGAATGAATGATGGGCTACTAGTTTCTCTTCTTCTTTGTGATGAATCTCTCACTTGTTGGAGTGAGTCATTTATAGGATGATGTGTGGCTACTAATGCATGCATGGGATGGGACCAAGTGATGGCAGGTTGATGGATGGAAGGAAGTTAATTGCATGAATCTTAGGTAGAGACAAAAACTGGGAGATTTGGATGAAACTGAACACTGCTGGCATAAAGGCTGAACAGGATGTTGCCCCCCTAAAGAGGGTTTGTGTGATACGGCACACAAATTTTGGATGTTGACGCCTCACGAAAACAGGAAACCTGAGAAAGTGAATTTGCAAATTCTCACCATGAAACTGCATACCTTTGGTTACTGGCAGCATTAACAAAGTTGATTTCCCATGCTGCCTTTCTTCCGATGGTAACTAAGTTTGCAGCCTCACTTTCGGTTACTACACATCAGCAGCAACGAATATCATATATATGCTTATAATGCACCTGAAACTTTTTCCCTTTACCTTCTTTGGTGAATTACTCCACGAAATGTTCCTTCCTCCATTACTCTGTTTTGGTATTTTGGCTCCAATTGGGAGAAATTATTGGAATTTTTTCTCATGGATCAGACAAAAGGTACCATCACGTACACACTATCTTAACTTTTTTTCAGAAACTTAATTCACTGTTCACATAATTCATCTTCCCAATCATATGATAATTCTATTAATTCACACATATATAATTCATCTTCCCAATCATATGACATACCGACACACGTTTCATTGACAAACTGAAGGGAAGAACAGTTGAGTAGCTGCCCAACCAATGGATTAGGCCTAAATGATGAGCTTTTCCTTTAATAGTGGACAGTGGTCCACATCTTCAGTTAATTGCCGAACTAGTATCATGGTAAACTTCCACAGGATATGATCTCTGCCAGTAGTACAGTAAAAACCATACTATACACATGCAGGAAATGGTTAAGACATGCACATTCTTGAACGCTGAACTGAACTGATCAAGCATGGATATGCAGTTTTGCATAGTTTCTCGTTGGCACATCGTCTTCATAGTCACAAGCAGCACAGGTGGATCAATCATTAGATTCAGAGCTCCACATAAGCGCCGGTGCTGGATACTACGATTGATCAGAGGGTGTTGTACTGTGCATAACGTCCTTGGAGCATCTGAATGTGACTGATCAGCTTCGTGTCTCTTGCATCTTTGTGCTGCCCTTAACTCCAAACAGCCCCGGACGCAACTGGTGTTCAGTTGGCTGTTCAGAATTGGAAGATTGATTCTGCAACCTGCACCGCACCAACAAGAGGGTAAGTACACAAATCCAAGGTTGAATTCTTTAGGTTGTCTTCAAATGGTCACTAACTCACTACTACCAACTCTAAATACGCATTGTGTCAGTGATAATTAGTAAAAGAAAAATTCAGGAATGTGTAAAGCCTGAAAGCATGACAAAAGATAGCAGGTTAAGAGAATCTAGCTCCCTGTAGACCCACACGATTGAATGCGCACAACATTCCAAACGAGAACAGATGCTCCTTAGAAATTAAGGACTATATGTCATGAAATCGCAGAGGACCCTTCAATTGTTCACATGATCAGGGTACTGGATACAGCACTGCTGAAGGTTCTTATATTAACTATAAACTATGCTATCTGCCTTCCTGACAAGAGGCTCAAACTGAATGCATTTTTCTCTCATGATAAACTTTACATTTTATCTATGGTACCTACACTTATCCTTGAGGCCTTAAACTTGTGGAGATGAAAACAGGTGAAGTCTGCAATCAGTGCAATTGCAGGTACTTCAGAGTTGCTTGAGAATTCATTCCTCAATCTCTCTTCAGTCACATCAAAATCCAGTGTAATTGTCCACTTCGAAAAATCCATTGTAGCTGTGTGCAACAGTTAGGTAATCAAGCTACAGTTTACAGGCATCTATTCGTACTCAGGGGCTGGAGGGCTGGGGCCCTTGACCCTCCATGGCGCATTTAAAAGGAAATCTCCCCTAGCTTCACTGACCGACACCAATGAAGAAATGCAGTTACATGGAAAACATAAGAATATTTCTGAAAAAAAAATGGCATTTCCAATTTCAAACCTTAGGTCCCTGCAGCTTTCAGTTTCAGCAGATAAGTTTAACTGTTATCCCTGTCTGATGCCTGGATATATCTGAATGCGTTCAAATTTGGGATAGCAAGTGTCAATTTAATTAGCAAGAAATGGGCGCACCCAAAGTTGATTTGGTGGATACCCACACACCTTCGACCAACTGAGCTAAGTCAATTGACTCAGTTCTTATCTTACGTCTGCTCAAGTCTGTAACAACTTTCTTGCGCTTGACCATTACATATAGATAGAAGCAAACTGTGGTCTGAATGTCTGAAAGGTGCACAGTTCATCACTTCAGGCTGAAGGTTGATGAGGCACCTCTTCAGTTTTCTCATAAGTCGATGAGACACCTTAAGGTTGACAATAACGATGCGCATTACCCACTCGATCATACATAGCAGTGTAAATTATATTTGTTTGCTCACTTCTGCTGATCCCTATTTTGCCATGATTTTAGCCTCACTCTGGAAATCTGGTGAAGACTTGGAGCATCGATCGTTTACAAACCTTTGTCAAAGTCTCTTGCTTATGATATGTGAGAACAATAGGAAAGCTTGATTGAAAGATGTGATTGCCAGTCACTGTGCTAGGTTGGTGTTAGTCAAAATGGTAGCATGTGGCATTGTGCGCTCCCTGTCAGCAATGACATGTTGCTACAAGTCTAGGTGAGCAAGTGTTATAGATTATTAGTATGTTAAATCAATATGCTAGTCTAACAAGATTTAGCAGCATTAGCTCCAGTGCCAACTACCAATTTCCTCAGTATTCAACTGGAATTCGCTTGAACTGGAATTCGCTTCCAAAATACCGGTGAATCATTAGTATTCGACTGATGTGAAGAATTCGTCCAAAAAGTTGTCGAGAATTCAAAGGCACAGCAGGGTAATATATGATCATAAAATGCTAAAACCTCTTAACTAGAGAATAAATATTCCACAAGCTTATCAGATATCTAAACCAACGCAGAGGAGGTACTGAAAACTAAAAAAAAAAGGAGCAACTAACGTGTACTACCAAACTAGATTGGAAGTGGTTTAAACTAATTCAGAGTTCATAATCTGATCTCAAAGGAAAGCGAGATCATTGACGTGCTATACACTATTTGGACATACAAAGTTACAATCCAATGTGTTGTAGTTGAAATGCTTGCGAGATATTGTTGCGTAGCAGCATGCCAACATCAAGGCATTTCATCGAACAGAGAGGAGGCGCTTACCTCCAAGCGAGGAGGTGGCGACGTCGCCGGTGTGGGATCAGCCGTGCAGTACAGCTCCCTCAGGGTGTCGATGAGGGGGCGGAACCCGTCGCGGAGAGGCACGACGGAGACGGCGCGGAACCGCTCGGCGGCTCCCTTCGCGAACGCGCGCATCGCCACGCGGCACACCTCCCCCTCCAGGGCCTCCTCCGCGGCGCGCGCGGCCCCCGCGTGCGCCGCGAAGAAGCGCGCGAGCTCGTCGGCGGGGCAGCCGACCAGCACGCGCGCCGCGCGGTCGAATAGCACGACGGGCACGACGCGGTCGTGGGTGGCCACGGAGGCGCGCAGGCGGTAGACGCGCGCGGGCACCGGGCCTCCGCCGCCGCCGCGGCCGGTGCAGGCGGCGCATGCGTCGGCGTGGTCCGGGAGCGCCCGCTCGCAGCGCGGGCAGGAGAGGTAGCAGAAGTCGGACATGTCGGCCGCCACGACGGTGCAGTACGGCGGCGTCCACGTCGCCGCCGGCGCCGCCGCCTCGCCGTTGCTGCAGCCGACGAGAGCCATGACCTCCCACGGCCCAATAAGGCCCAAGGCCAATACGCCAAGCTACAACGGAGTACTACGTTAGGCCATCCCAACCTTTCAGTTAGTGTCTTGACAAGAGAATTTAGCGAGGAGAGGCGTAAAAAAGATGAATAACCATTTCTCATGCAAGAAATTATCTCTACACAAGAACCAAGAATAAAATAAGAAGATAGTTGAATGAAAGAAGATAGTAGTAGAAGAGAGATGATTAGATAGGAATTTAATTTAAAAACACCATCTATTGAATATATATTCTATATAGTTTATATGACATGACAAGTATAATAATTATTTGATAGTTTCAGAGTTAGGGATGGCCTAAGCCACGACAACTCTTAACTCAAAGATCACTAGTTTGTATCACCCTAATAAATATGTTACATGCAACCCAGAAACCATCAATTAGTTTTTATATGTATAGAAACTATATATATCTAAAAGATGATCTCTTCAAATTAAATAATCATCCAATAACATTTTTTCTATCTCCTTTTATCTATATATCTCATTCATTTTTGGTTTTTACTTAGAGATGGTTTCTTGCATGAGAACTGGTTTATTCATCTGTTTACTTTGTCTTGTTAACTCTCTTGCCACATCAATTTTTTTTCTTATGTAAAAATATATTTAATACCGTGGATACCAGATGATATGGAGGATCAGGATAACCTCATCACTTTGGACTGGAGGGAGTACTTAGATACCAATTTTGGCGTATTGGGCTTGGTCCTTGTTGGGCCGTGGGATGTATGGCTCGTGTCGGCTGCAGCAACGCCGACCTTTCTTCTCACGGCCCAAATCCAAATCCGGCAATCCCCAACACCTACGAGTAATCTCCACCGTCCATTCGAGATCGGACAGCCATAAAACGCACGTGCTCTCGCTTCGGTGGAGCTCTGGATCTGACGCGTCCTCTTCTTCCTCCTCCTCGAGACCTCGGCACCTCGCACGCCACGCTTCTCCTCCTCTTCCTATCCCAATCCACTCGGCGACCCCCCTCGCCGTCGCCGCGCTGCGCCGGCGAGCGCCACGGGAGCAGCAGCCCTCGCCGCTCCGCGGCTAGCTAGCTCGTCTCCTCGTCCGCCTCGCGCCTGCTGGAGATCCGCCCCCCGACCCCCGTGGTAAGCCCTGGACCTGGGGTTGGTTTTCGTCTGTCCCTAATCTGCCGCTGATGTGCGAGCCGAAATCAAATCTATCGACGAGGTTTCGTGCGGTTAGTGTGGGATCGATCGATTTGCTCGGTAGTATCTGTAAATCCGCTCGCTGTTACTGGTTTGGTCGCTCGCTCGTCAGGTAGGGTTTCGTTCGCTGCTCTCGCAAATTGGTCGTGGACTCGTGGTTCAGCGCGCGTGCATGTTTGTAGGATGGGAGCGTAGGTTGTGGAGTAGTCGAAGCAGTAGGATGGGAGCATAGGTTGTGGAATAGTCGAAGCAGTAGGAATATGGGAGCATAGGTAGTATGGTTGTTGAACTTGAATCCTATGGTAAAGATATGATGATTTGTTGTAGATTGGGCGGTTGTGTTGGGGGGACTAGGAGGGAAATCTTGTGTATGAGCAATTGAGCAAATGGCTCGATGGTCCTTGTTTGTAGTAATCAAGGATGGAGGAAGGTGGGGCATTCGGAGAGTCGTTTGCCCTACTGTTGGAATTCGGGCCTGTGCTTAGGAAAGGATGGTTGCTGTTGTTTGGGCTCATGGAGCTGGAATTCAGCCTGTGGTTTTGTTGTGGACAGGAAGGAAGGAAGAAGGGAGGGTTGTAACAGCCTAACAGGTTGTGGGAGTCTTGGAGGTGCTGGTTTTGTGGTGTGGTGTTCGCAGTTTGGTTGGAGCTTGGAGATTTAGAAGGAAGGTTTGACGATGAGCAGCCGCAGCCCGCCACCAAAGGACCGCAGGATTCGTACTGAGCGTACCTCATACCGTGATGCGCCATACAGGAGAGACAGCCGCCGTGGTCCTAGCAGGTTTGAGTTGTCTTGTTTAAATAAATAAAGAAAATGAGTATCTGGCACCGTATATCCTAATGTTGCCGCTTGCTATCAACCTCTCTTGATCATGTTGGCAGGATAACCATAATTGTCATTTCTGTTTGGATGTATATATTCTCTGTTTTTCTTCCACAATAATTACTTATGCATGTAGTATTTGTATAGCCTCTTGATCTAAGGCCATGAATCCATGACCTATGTTGCTCCAGTATGTAATATGGATAGGGCGACACTACATGTGGTCAACCCATTGCTGTAATCTAGGCTAAGGCAACAGTTAGTTTATCTTTTTCTTTAAAGGAGAAGTTGGTTTGTCTTCATGTCTTTTGTCTATATCTATACTCTATATACAATTCTAAAAGACTCCAGTGGTGGTGGCAGTGAATCTGCCACCACCACCTACTCACTGTCATGTGGGCCCATGACGATCCTACTTTCAAAATTTAAGCAACTTCTTCAGAGTTGGTCAATACCCAATATACTTCTCCATGACTCCCAAATTGTACAAGGTTCTCCAGTGTAGCAAGTGACCATTCCCTCTACAATGAATGAGGTCTCTAAAAAAGTGAAGAGTTTTCTCCTTTTAGATAAAATGAAGTTCCCCATTATGATGTCTATACTTACTATGCCTAGACTCGAATTAAAACAGTCGGGTATATGTATCAACTATCAATTCTAACATGTCCTGTTGAAACTCCTATAGTTTATTATTATTTCTTCAAAATCCATTACAACGCATGGGCACTCTGCTAGTAAAAGTAAAAGAGTACATGGAGTACGATGGACCTCATTCCCTTTATTGGACGATCACTTGGTTTAAGTGTGCAAAATGTTCAACAAGGCATAAGCTAATGTTGTTTCGTGATTTTCGGAAAACCCTCTCATGATTACATTAGTTTGTCATGATTCATGACCTGAAGAGTGCAATTTAATAAACGAATTTCAGATTCCTGTCAATCTGCAATGTATCTGAGCTTTTGTATCCTCCACTTCTTTGTTTTCTTCCCTGCAGATTTCCTAATGATTTGTGCAACAATTGTAAGCGTCCAGGACATTTTGCTAGAGATTGTCCAAATGTGGCTCTTTGCCATGCATGTGGGCTTCCAGGGTAAGGACTATTTGTTATTCTGTTTTGCAGATATTTCATGTTCTTATAGCCTTTAAAGAAGTCTTCCATTATTCAGTATCTATTTGTGGTGTACTTGTGTTTATTTTCTCTTATATTGTTTTGCCATGCTTTTAAAATTCTGTATTCTCAATAGCACTGCTTGTTTATGTCATTGTGTATTTAGAACCATATCCATCTAGATTACAAATGTGCAGTGAATGAGACGTGATCTCAATAATTGTGACAGTTCAACCGTAATGAAGTTGATGTTAGGTGAACATGATAGATGGCTACATTGATTTGCTAATATTTAACAGTTTTGAGGTACCCCATGCTCCTTTCGTGATGGATGAGACTTAGTGTTGGCATCACCAATTATTTGAGATTTGTTCCCAAAACACGAAACATGGTTCATTGTCTTTTAACAGTTCAATTTATAGTATGCATCTAATATTTTTTTATTAGCTTATTCATATTTATGACAAATCAGCAAAAGGTAGCTAAAGAAACTGAAATGTTGAAGCTTAAGCCATGCATAAAGTTGCCAGAAGATGGTTAGTAACAGTTAAGCAATAACTTGTGGAATTAAATAATTGTAATTTAAGTCACAGATTATAGTTTCATGTGATCAAGAATGCTTACATGCTTCACCTTCTTATCTGTGAGCTAGCATTACTTACTCTAATGCTTACTTTGGCAGGCACATTGCAGCAGAGTGTTCTTCCAAAGATCTCTGCTGGAACTGCAAAGAACCTGGCCACATGGCTAACAGCTGCCCAAATGAAGGGATATGCCGCAACTGTGGCAAGTCGGGTCACATTGCAAGAGAATGCAGTGCTCCACCAATGCTGCCAGGTGAAATGAGGCTTTGCAGCAACTGCTACAAACCAGGGCACCTTGCTGCGGAATGCACCAATGAGAAGGCCTGCAACAACTGTAGGAAGAGTGGCCATCTTGCTCGTAACTGCCCTAACGAGCCCGTCTGCAACCTATGCAACGTGTCAGGACATTTGGCCCGAGAGTGCCCCAAATCTGATGCTATCAATGAGAGGGGTGGGCCTCCTCCCTTCCGTGGTGGATACAGTGATGTGGTCTGCCGTGCTTGCAATCAGGTTGGTCATATGAGCCGTGATTGCATGGCCGGTGCGTTCATGATCTGCCACAACTGCGGTGGTCGTGGTCACATGGCTTATGAGTGCCCATCTGGGAGGCTTATGGATCGGTTTCCCCCTCGCCGTTTTTGAGTGATTTTCCAAGTGCTCAATCAGATGACTCTTCGTTGGGACCGGCATTATGAATAATCATATCTCGTGCTTTATGCCTTAAGAATGTTAGTGTATTTCAGATACTTCAGTTTTCATAGTTTGTCAGCTTACTTGTATTTGTCGGTTCTGCTGTTTAACTGCGATACTCGTTGATCGGTGAGGATGAATTCCAGATGGGATACTTGTTTTAATTCCTACAAACTTGAAGTTAGTCTTATATGCCTTGCAGTTGCATCTGTGTGTTTTTATACCCCAAACTGTAGTCTGTACTTCCAATCCGGTACTGAAGCGCCCTTTTGAACTGGCACACAAGCTCGGCATTGCTCCGTTGCAAGCTTTTTTTCTACCCCCTAATTTTGGTGTGTGAACGTAATTCGGGTAATTCGGGAAGAGTATGCTGCTGATTTTCTCCTGTTTATTGCATATCTGAGCCAAGTAATATTTCTGGAATGGACGTTAACATGCCTCGATAGTATCAAAAGGCATAACTTGTTATCCTTGCCTACGATAAAGTCTCGATTAGTAGTCGATTTGGCATCAAAACACCAGAGAAATGCAGATCATTTGCTTCTACAGCGCATATTTCACCCAAAAAAAAAACATATACAGCAATTGGTTCTGACTCTTTCAAGTTGAGCGCAAACCACATAAAGACTACCCGAGTCACAATGTTATTGGTCAGCGTAACAAGTTCCATGGATGCTCACAAGTCACAGCCACAAAAACAAAAGGCACAGCAGCACGACACTACTACAGAAATCGAAACAAAATCAAAACACTACACAAGCCGTAACGAACAAAATGACCAGGGAGGCATTCCAGATTTTGGCTATATATAGGACAGTTTAATCCAACTTCGCGTAGCTCAATCCATTGCTATCTGCTTTCTCGCCTTCCGTTTGCCCCAGAGCCTTCATCTGTTTCATCCAAGGAAACAGGAAGAGAGAACGAAAAAAAAAAAAGGTCAGCTACTCTGTCAACTGAGTTGCCCATTTGACACATAACAATTGTACAAACTGAAAATTCTCTGGAATTGAAGCATAGAAAATGACCGGAGATAGCAACAGTGCAAAAAGAAAACTACCTTTGCTTGGTACGCCTTATGGTATCTGTAACCCTGAAAAAACAAGAGCACAACATAAATATGTCGTTCTTGTGTGTTGGGGGTGGGTGGGTTTAAACAGTTGCATTGTGTAAAAGCAGATACTTACTTTGTCGGTTCCATATAGATAATCACAATACGTGAAAACAGAAGCGAAATTGCTCTGACTCTGGCGTCCAACATAGTGATGATAATCATGGTATTCTGCGCCTCCATAGAATGGAATATACTTTGTCAGGTTGAACGGGAAATCAAAGCTGCAAAAATAACAAGATAATTTTGTTATGCCATGTAAACACTACACGAGTGCAACAGCAATGTGATGGGCGATATCATTTGGTCAGTGCAATAGCAAAGTGATGGGGAATACGGCAAAAAGTATGGTCATGATACTCAAGTTTTATGAGTTGACACTGACACAATATTGATATGACCAAAGCATATACATGTCTTTTTATTTATTTTAGAAAAGGGGTTGGCGGCTTTCCATCCTTTTAAGTTAAAGTTCAAGCAACTTAATTGCTTCTATATCATCCATGGTCACATACTACAATTTTATGAGTGAACACTTGCAGAAAAACAATGGATCAGACCCAAAACAGTCTAGTAATCTTGCATTGTTGCTAGTTCTCCATGTCTAGCATAGTATCATATACACTAGTAAATATGCATATCTATTTAAATTTGACAAGCTGCTTAAAAAAAACTAATATCAATCATTACACTCCAGATTGCTTAGAGTTGTATAATTTTGTAATTAAAATCACAAATGCACTTTTTTCTCAAATTAATTAGTCTAATCAACTTTAATGAATTGAAAGTGTAGTTGCAAAATTGAACAAGGTTACTCATTTGCTACTTAAATTTCTTTCTACTAAAAAGCTGCAGCGAATGCTGAACCATGGTCTGTAGTCTATTCTAGCATTATTCTGGAAATAGTAGATAAAAGCATCCTATTTCTAGGTAAACCTTTTCTGTTCAATAACTCCAAATGCATCAACATAGGTACCTGTATCCTATGTTCCAAGCTTCCAATTGGAAACAAACCCTCTGTCCAAAAATCCATTTATCACTAACAAATCAAAATGCCATGCAGCTAGATTTGCAATCACCCACTAAATCTATCCACAACATATCCATCCATCACTAGCAACAAATCCAAATACTTGCCAAGTCAACACAATGCTGTGCACATCGTTAGACTTATATTACGTGATAAATTATGCATCCTCCAAACAATCCAAAGAAGGGGGGAAGTACAAAGTTTCCTTACCCGCTGTGTGTCTCTATGGCCTCCATCTGGCGGAGTACAATCCAGAGCCAGAAGGTGATCATGTGACCAGGTGCAAGCGCTGGCCCGACAAAGGAGGGGATGCCGAGGATGAGCACCTCAGCCCAGTGTGCATATGGCGCGGCGAATCCAATGGGTGCCGTGAACTCATGGTGGACACGGTGGATCTTCTCATAGCCCCACTCCCCATGTAGCAACCGATGGATCCAGTAGTTGAGGTAGTCCTCAACCAGGAAGTACACCAGCAGCTGCGCCGCCATCTCCCCCAGCGACGGCAGTGGCAGCCCTGTGTGGATTCCCACCATCTGCAATGTTCAAAAACGACCTATCTTCTTTATTTGATCTCTAGAACTACTATAATAATGCACCACATATAAATAATAGTAAATGATATAAAAGGAACAATCTTCTTTTACTTAAGAGTATTAAAATATCATCAAGACGACCTTAGATCATGTGATTGCATCTCACAAGGGTTCCCGGATCACAAATCCCTTCAAATCTCGCAATCTCGAACTGATGGATCACCCACCATCTTACAAATCCAAATTCTAAGCGCCGCATACGCGTAGTAACCAAATGTCGCGTTCTTCCTTCGAATCTAATCCCCGCGGCACAGCATTGCGCGGATTCATCGACGAGAGCCGCAGAAAAAAAAAGAAGAGGAAACGCACCTTGACGGTAGGGTAGGACACGAGCTGGAGCGGGCCGATGACGAGGAAGAAGAGGCGCATGACGTCCCTGTAGCAGCGGAAGAACTCCTCCCGGGAGAGCCGCACCTTGGGCTGCAGCTTGAACGGCCCCACGGCGGCCGGCGCGCGGAGCTCGAGGAGCGCGACGGGGAGCGGCGCGAGCGTGAAGACGACGAAGAGGAAGAGGATGTTGTGCCAGAAGAGGACGTAGTCCGGGATCCCCGCCGAGTACCTGAACCACAGCGACTCCGCCGCCGTCATCGCCCTCCCCAGCGCCGCCTCCGCCTCCGCCGCCGTCGCGTAGGGCAGCATCTCTCCCCGCCTCCGCCGCCGCCGGCGAGCCACTCGAGATGGCCCCCTCTTTGCGATTCCCGATAACTCTAGGGGGTTAGGTGCAAAATGCCGCTTCGAGTGGCCTCGCGTCGTCGTCCACAGCTGGACAGTGCTGTCCTCTGCTTTTTATGATGGCATGTTTGTCTCACTGACATGTGGGGCCCACGTAAGGCGCGGTGTGCGGTGGGCTCCACCTGGCAGTGAGTGGGGCCCGCTGCTCCTTTGTTGTTTTTGCTAATGCTGTGTGGCTGGATCTCGCATGCATATATGGTATGGAGAATTGGAGATGGAGATTGGAGAGAGCATCTGTTGCTCTTTGACTTTCTGTGGCCATGAATCCACTCCAAAAACTACAAATACTCGAAAATTCGATTGTTTGTTCAATGCTGTGGAGTAATCAGATGTTCGATCTGGAGATTAAGAAACAAATTAGCTGCAATTTGTGTTACAAGTTGGTGGCAGATCAAATTAATCAAACCACCAAATCATATTTTTACAGCTGAAGCGTTGGATACTCCTCCAAATTTCAGCACAAATGCGTGCCTAGCCAGTGCATTCATGATAGAGAGAAAAAGATATCCAGTGCTACAGGTCATAGACAAGATGGATTTCATTTATTATGGGGGTTTTTTTATATATAATTTACATCTTAGAACAGCTATTAAAATACTGGAAACTATTGAGATGGCAATAGTTTTATCAGAGAATAAAAGAGCTATAGTAGCAATAAGTGATCAGGGGACAACAATGTGAGTATATAGGATTTAATTTGTTCGATCGCCCATACAAATATGTTCGTGCTTTTAAAGCAGCACACGTACGTACGTACGTCGAATCGTCGATGCATGCATTGTTTGGTCATCCGTATTTATAGCCAATGCAAATTTCTTACGTGCGAAATGCAACTACACATATGCCACCTATGCATCCACGTTCCCAAGAGTCCAACCACCAGCAGCCATAGATGTCGATGTCATAAGAGCACTACGGCTAGGGAAAAGAACAAATTCAAAATGTTGCCATCAATGTGCATTTTGTCACGTTATATTTTGTTTTCCCGATTACCCAGCAGAAATATACGTACAATACCACTACACGTAACATCACACTTGCACGCCCGTCAAAATAAACACACACTAAACAAAATGAAAACCAACAATGCTTATATAAATTTATTATTATTTTATTGAAAGTTCATTTACGTATACTCGTAGCTTAATTTTCATACACGCGAGGATTTAAATCCGGTAGGTAAAATTATATATCGATGACTCCACCATTATTCCGTATCATTTCTCATTTCAATTCAATGCTATAAAAATACTACAATGCACTTGCTTTTCCTCAACAACCTACCCGTCAACCTCTTTCCTAGAGAGCGACGTGTCGGGCATATACTCTCTCTGTTTTAAAATGTTTGACACCGTTGACTTTTCAGTACGTGTTTGACCATTCGTCTTATTCAAAAAATTTAAGTAATTATTTATTCTTTTCATATCATTTGATTCATTGTTAAATATACTTGTATGTACACATATAGTTTTACATATTTCACAAATTTTTTTAATAAGACGAACGGTCAAACATGTGCTAAAAAGTCAACGGTGTTAAATATTTTGAAACGGAGGGAATACATTCATAACAAAATGTCGTACATTTTTATACTTCGATCTTACCAAAGTTAATTGGATTAGCTATCTATTATCGTTTTTTTGCTGGTCCATTTCGGAAAGTAGCTAGCTAGATGCATTTTTCTATGGCTAGCTAGGTACGATGTCGAGCTAGCTATGTGTCATCGCCTCAATTTCGGCAGTTTTTCTTCCTCTCCTCTCGTGACTTCTTCTGTCGACAAAGTGGCATGGTTTCCACGTCCAAATTCAGGTATGCCAGGCCGCCGCCTATGCATACATGTATACTCAAGCAAAATTGTTAGGAAATGATAAGCGAACAAACGATAAAAAAATAATAGATCAGTCACAGAAGACACGAGATTTAACGTGGAAAACCCTCTCAATACAGGAGAGAAAAAACCACGGGCGCCAGCCAGCAAAATATCTTCACTATATCTGGGGTGAGGTTACATCGCCGCACGGCGGTTTACAAGAGGTATATATATGGTGGAACCCTAAAAAGGATGACGATCCGTTTTGCGGGGGCTCCGGCCCAAGCCTCCCGGTGACGGGCCTCCGCTCTGCTACGGCAGAAGCTGGCCTTTATTAAGTGCAAATGAATTTGTATCACAACTCAACAAAAATGAACATGTTTTGTTATGATAAAATAAAATATATAATAATATATCATATATGTAATATATTTTTAAATAAAAATGCTAGTATGATTTGTTGCTTATTTGATTATATTTTATTTACTTGATGCAAACAAATATTAGACTATTATGTGATATTAGAAACTAATTTAAAAAGTCCAAAAGTAGCGGTATATCTTTCATAGTAGTAGTTTAGATAAACAGGTATGCAATACCACGCACATTTCAGACCTCTCAACTTCATCAAGCAATTAAATTTCTGAGTCCCCTCATGTACTGTGTTAGATACTTTGGACTTGAGTTTGCTTAATTTGTCCCATGTATAGCCCCATAAAATTTATTTTTAAATATAAGTGGTTTGCATTTAGTTTCAGGCCTCCATCCTTAAACACACAAGATACCATCACAATTGTATATTTCTATGAGAGTATGAATACTACTTATATAGCTTTATTTTTTATAACTATTAGGTACAAACTTTTTAACAGTTCATAGTATAATTATATTATAACTCATATATATTATATATGTATTTAACTAATTAGAAGTAGTCTCGCCGAGGAGCACTTTTGCTCACGAGGTAGTGCGGCTTTTTTCTCTTGGGCCTGTTCAGCTGCACTTAACTTTATTGTTGTGCAGTCAACACAAATAGTAAGTTGAGTTTGCAGCTGCAGCAACAACGGCTGCGTACAATGGCTGTACCAGCTAGCCGAACAGGCCTCTTGTAGACACGAATCTCAAGACGACCCGACGGTCCACAAATCAACTGTTTGGCAAAACAAATTTATCAACAATTGTATAGCAATTCAGATCCTTTAATCCACGAACAGAGGATAGTTTCTTTTTCCGGCAGGTACAGTAAAACACACCAAAAACACATCTATAAATCCAAGGATAGTTATCGTCCTTGGCCCTGTTTGGTGGAGTTTAAGATTCTAAGAAACAACTGGTGAGAATTTGGAGAAGCTGGGAAACCCAGCTTCTGACTTCTAGTTTATTTTCTGTATTCTACAACTACAGTTTCTCATAATCTAAGTGAAAATTTGGATTGTTTGGGGAGCTTCTAGCAATAGCAGCTTCTAGAAAAATCTCCAGCTACCAGAAGCTCACCCAAACAAGTCCCTTATTAGGTGCATCACCAAACATGTACATCCTCTCGTACTCGATCCTCCTCGGATTGACGACGAAGCGGTGACTGAAAATAACACAAACACGTGATACCGAGCCAGCATGCACGGTAAGGATGTAAGTGGATCGATCCGTAAACTCACTTATAGTACACAAATGAATGGGTAACCGCCGCCGGCGGACTGTACAGAGGCGTCGTCAAACGGGCGGCGCACATAGTTTCCCTGGGGCGTGCAGACACCGAACGCTCCGACGACTTGCACGCTCCATGCATCGCCGGGAAACCTGTCTCTCTCTGACGGCTCACGAGCAATTCGCCTGACAAGTGACCACCCCTCATGCTCAATGTTCTGCATCACAAACTGACACGGCAATACAACAATTAATACTGGTGCTTAAGTTTAAACTGCTTGCTTGTGTCCATCTTGTATTCATTGTTTGCTGGCTAATTTGGCCGATCTCACTTTGTATATCTCCAGTGGTTGAGCACGTGAGTCGTCAAACATCCACTACAGGCGGCAATTTTACAGCAAGGATGATCAAATCTTCAGATTAATAATCTAGCACCTGCTACTGCTTTGTCCCTTGTGCTGTGTCCCATCTCTGCACTCTGCAGCTTCAGATTTGGACCGGTTCATTGATCCCACATTCCACCACTCGATCCAAAACATCTCACATACTCACATGCCTGGATGCTCAATCAAAGGTAGTAGTATCATCTGCATCTTCAAGTGCACTGTGTGCAGTGGCAGTCCATAACCAGGACACGAACTCCATACATGCATGCACAAATGCACTGGATGCAGAAGAATTGTAGACATTCAGAGTTCCGGATAAATGGCCGAAGGATGATTGATGGAGGCGTAGACGACTGTGAGCGGAACAAGTTGAGGTCTGTGGTAGTTAGAGGTCTTTTGTTCCATTTTAGATGACGTAATTCATATAAAATACCGTTATAAATTCTAAGTGTTTTCTATTCGGTGTTTCAGTTAGATATCATCAGGAGGGACATAGGGGTTTGTCCCATAACCTTGAGTATTTTATTTATCTTTTCTTGACTCATTGGTCATGTACCTGATGGCAGAGACCAGAGATTTAAATCATTTTCATGTCTAAAAAAATTAGAAAATCTGAGAAGGAACATCTCTTAATCTCTTATGCATGTTCTTACAGAGAACTCTAGCAATCTGACCATATCCATCAGCCAACCACCATTTGAGCCATTATGGTTCATGTTTGACATGGTTAATCTCCCTCTGATTCTTAGAGCCTTCCCATCTTAATTGTAGGCATTGTAGGTACTGACGTAGAGTAATGCACCCACGACTCTAATACTTTTGGCACCGACGCCATTTAAGGAAAAAAAAATCCTAGTTTACACATATAATCCTAACACTTGGAGCTGGTGATTTCAGTAGGTGAGTTTGATCACTGCTGCCTGATTTCTCTTCATGGGCCTTTCCATCAGCTTAGCCCAGTGGCTACATTAGATTCTCTTCATTGCTAATTCGTTCCTGTATGCAGATTGTATAACAGAGAACATATAGCTCAATTTCTCCAAATAGGAAATACAAAAGAATTATACACAAGTTAGAACAATCAGAACAAACCAGCATCTCGTGGTCACCCATTATTTCCTCGATCACCTCACCAAGAATCTTGTCTGCACTGTTAGGAACAAGTGCTGCAAAAGCAGCTGGTTCCAACCCTGAACAACAAGTAGCAGCTCATTAATTTTGACAACACATGATCTGCAAGCTTCCAAAGTTCATTTATATGATCCCAGTTAAGTGTAATAAATTTCACAGTTTACATAGGACAATCGAGTTACCAGTTTCTGGGTAGGAATTGATGAACATCATCATCTCTTCACCAGTCAGGCCAGAAAATATACAAATTCTTGGCATTGACTTTGCAATCTGCCAATTGAAAATGAGTGTTAACCGTTAACAAGTGCTCAATATCCTGATCTAAGGTCAGAGATTAATTGATTGGCATTTGGTATCTGTAACATCAGCACAATAGTGATGTGTCAGCTGTTAGCAGATTAAGACTGAAAAGAAACGTGAAAATAATGAGAATGAATGATTCAGACCTTGACAGCTTCTATACTAGGTTGCTCAGTGTGCATGGCATCCCACAACGTTTGCTTTGTCATTTCTTCTGTACAATGAATCACCTGAAACAAAGCCATATGAGCATATAACTGACCTTTCAGATTATCCATAGATTCATATAAGCATGGTTGCATTTCGTCCTTTGAATGATGCACTTGCACGCTATGAATTTTCTCCCTGAATTTCATCTTAGATGATTCTTGCCGATGAGACTAAAGCTGAGTCCCCATATTTTATCCCTTCTTCTAGCTTCTATTTGCTCTCATCAGAAGTCAGAAGATACATTTTTGTTCAAGTTTACTACATGCGCAAGAACAAATAGGAAAAACTGTTCTATGTTTTGATGTCATAAAAACCAATATCATTACATGCGAATGGCATCAGACAACTATTTTATACCTTGAGAAATTCTCCGTCAAGCTCTCTCAGGAACTCCTGAACCTGCACGAATTATGCATTTCAGGTAAGCTTATCGAACATTCAGAACAACAAGAAGCACACACACCAAACATACAAATCAATGCACCATATGTCTGGTAATTTCAGACAAACAGGACCGTTCTGTTCTGCGTGAACAGTTCATTGACTGCGTATTTACCTTGTTGGTTTCGCCTTCCTCGAATCCGATGAGCAACAGCGCCTGACGAACACAACCAATTCAGATGGAGATCAGCACAGAAGCAGCAAATAGCAAGGAAGAGGAGCCGCAGCTAGCAACTCACCGGCGGTCCGTACATGGGATCCTCGGCGTTCAGCGGCACGAACTTGGAGTCCTCCTCCTCCTCCATGAGTTCGCCGGGGACCCCTGCGGCGGACGTCCATCAGATCAACGCAACCAAACCAATCAGCTAACCGTGGATGCATCCGCACCTTCGGGAGGCGGCGACGATCGGAGCAGCCGCCACCTTCTCCCCCTCCTCCGCTGCGGCGCCAAGACGCAAGCGGAGGCGCGCGGAGATCGAGATCGAGGGAGTAAGATGGTGGCGGAACGGCGGAGGAGGAGGAGTACGGGGGTGGCTGCGGCCATGGCCATCGTCGCCGGCGCCGGCGGTGAGGACGACGACGAGGGGAGCTATCCTCCTCTGTGTGGTCTCCGCTTCGTCGGCGTTTTCCCGCCACCACCACGCAATCTCAGCCGTCCGATCACCATCCTGCGTCTGAGAGTGGAGGAGGCAGAGCCTGCGAGAAATCGCGCGGTTCGTGTTGGGCTTCGCGCCCCGCTCCCAAATGGGCCGGGCCCGACCCAATCGCTTCTGGCCCAGTACGGCCCATCAAGCGGCGCATTACACGCGGGCCAACGCCTTCGCCTCTCCGGTCTCCGAAGCTTTTCTCCCCCGCACGCGACGACCTCGCCGTCGCCGTCGCCGCCGCCGCCGCCGCCATGGGGAGGCGATCCGGGGGGAGGAAGCTGCCCTTCTTCGCCTCGAACGCCTCCACGTCGTCCTCCACCAAGCGGACCCGCTCGGCGCGCCGCCTCCCCTCGCTCACCAGGCCGCGCGCGTCGAGCTCCCCATCCCCGGCGTCGCCGTCCCCGCCGCCGCCGTCCGCGTCGCACCCCGCCCCTCCGTCCCCTCCCCTCGCCGTATCTCCCGCCGGCGCCGGTAAGGTCGGGAAGAAGAAGGCCGGGGCGCGCCTCTGGATGCGGCTCGACCGGTGGGGCGTCTCCGAAACCCTCCATCTCGACAAGGGCTCCATCATCCGACGCGCCGGCCTGCCGCCGCGGGACCTCCGGATCCTCGGCCCCGTCTTCTCCGACTCCTCCAGCATCCTCGGTGAGCTCGACCACGCCCCCATTAGTATCGATTGCTGCTTAGGGGGTCGCTTTTGTTGTGACAATACACAATGTTTAATTGTGCAGCTAGAGAGAAGGCGATGGTGATCAACCTAGAATTCATCAGGGCGATCGTTACGGCCGATGAGATCCTTCTACTGGATCCTCTCACGATCGATGTGATCCCTTTTGTTGAGCAATTGACACATCATCTCCCTCTCAAGAACCTGGTGTGTGGGAATGGTCAACCTGGTGGTGATGACCATGGGGAAAAGCATGATGACTCGCATGGAGATCAGGTGCCCCGCCTTAACGAGGCCACCGGAGCAGAGCACGAGTTGCCATTTGAATTCCAGGTGCTGGAGCTCGCACTCGAGACCGTGTGCTCATCATTCGACGTTAACGTGTCTGGTCTTGAAAGGCGCGCCACTCCGGTACTTGAGGAACTGACCAAGAATGTCAGCACAAGGAATCTCGATCGTGTGCGAACTCTCAAGAGTGATCTTACCCGTTTGCTTGCCCATGTGCAGAAGGTACTATTAGAGATAGAGTAGTGCGTGCCTTTGGTCTGGCAAAGTTCAAAGTTTTCATCCCTGTTTGACTGTCTTTATTATTGCATATTAATTTGACTGATCAAAAGCTATATTCATAGTATGTTCTAGCTGTTCTTTTCTGTGGTTAAAGTTTAATTGCACTAAGGGGCATGGATGATCCAAACAGGCCCTAAGACAATAATATTTCTTCTTTGGAGCTATGTGGATATAACTGAACTTAAAAGCAGTACCGAATATTTGTTCAAAAGAATAGTGTGCCTGACATAGCCAGTATAATTTTACCATCTCAAACTTATAATAGTTATGGTTCACCGTGGACCAATCACCAACTGAAGTCTGCTGTGCCGTGGTCCTGTGTGCACGGGGGAACAATTGTTTCATGTACATAGAGATGTTGTAGTGCATGTGTTGAAAGAGCCAAAGTCTTCAGGTGTATATACTTTGGATTATCAAAATACATGTTTATATAATTTTAGTTCTTACTGTATGGTTGGAACTTGGGGCATATAAAACAAAAGGTGGTTATAAACAACTGATTTTTTTTTTGTTCGTGATGTTCTATGTACCTACCTATTCATTTCTTTTTAAAGCTTGTTGATTTTATTTTATATGCAGTATTGCTGCTGGGTAGTTTGGCTGTACTTTTGAGAACCTTGATGGTTACCTGCATGCTGCTCTAAACAAGGGTTTCTTCTGAAGATATGTATCTTAACCCTCATATCATTTCAGGTCAGAGATGAAATAGAACATCTTCTGGATGATAATGAAGACATGGCACATCTGTATCTAACAAGGAAGCAATTACAAAACCAGCAAGTTGAGGCTTTAATATCATCGGCTGCTTCCAATAGCATTGTTCCTGGAGGAACAAGTCTGTCCAGGTTGAACAATAGTTTTCGGCGCAGCGTGAGCATCGCTACAAGCATGCATTTGGATAATGACGTGGAAGACCTAGAAATGTTGCTTGAGGCTTACTTCATGCAATTGGATGGAATTCGCAACAGAATTTTGTCGGTTAGTCCTTTTACCCATATTGAAATGGGGTAGTTGCAGTTTTACTTGGATCTACTTAATGCTATATGACTTATCCTAGTGTTCATTTGGACTTATTCTCTGCTGACTTATCATAATGAATATAACTGTAAGTTCTTGTTGGAGATAAATTGTAAAGATACACAGCCACGTCTTGTTCCTAAACATATATTTGAGTTAGTATTCAAGTTAGCATAGATGTTGAATTCTTTAACTACTAGAAGTTGCTAAACATATATTTGAGTTAGTATTCAAGTTTGCAATAGATGTTGAATTCTTTAACTACTACTAGACTAGAAGTAGAAGTTGCTAAACATAGATTTGAGTTAGCAATAGATGTTGAATTCTTTAACTACTAGAAGCACATCTCTCTTTTCTGATGAAGAAACAAGGAAAGTATATCACTTTTCTGTATAATTCTTTGGCGCCCTTATGCTATATCTTGGCGTGACATAATTTCTCGTTTGGGAATTAAACAGGTTCGAGAGTATATTGATGATACAGAAGACTATGTCAATATTCAACTTGACAACCAGCGTAATGAACTTATTCAGCTTCAGCTTACACTGACTATTGCATCCTTCGGCATAGCTGTCAACACCTTCATAGCTGGGGCTTTTGCGATGAACATCCAGAGCAAATTGTACAGCATTGATGATGGTAGCTTCTTTTGGCCATTTGTTGGGGGCACCTCATCGGGCTGCTTCATGATCTGCATCGTCTTATTATGGTATGCCCGGTGGAAGAAGTTGCTCGGTCCTTGAACACAATGTAACAAGTCACGACTCATGAGAACTGTCTCGCTGTAAAGGGCATGCATTTTGACTTGTAACGTCTGCAGAAAGGAGCAGTCATTTGAAACATAAAAGAGAATCCTAGGATTAGGGAGAAACTCTAATGCATTTATGTTTCACTGGTAAATAAGATACATTTTCTGTAGTTTTCCCTTGGTAAAAATATAGTATACTAACATGTTATGATCATCAGCACCCTTGAATTGATTGTGGATTTGTGGGTTATAGGGGATCCAATCATCCTGAGGCAGCAGTATGTCTTCTTTGCAGAGAGATAGCTGATGAATCACTGAACTTTATGGACAATACTGAATAGTATATCGGTATGTCATTAACTCATTATATTCCAGTTAAACCATATTTAGACAAATATTGGTTATGGCCAATTGAAGCTTTCTTCCATGGCCCTGTGTACATGAAGGATTGACGGGGTTGTTTGGTTCTACACCATTCTTAACATTACCAAATAATTGGCATTGCTCAAATTTGTCCCTTATTTGGCTTGGTTAAGTTTGGCACTAGCCCAGCCCTAAATTTTTTGCCTTGCCAAATCTTGCCAAATAAAATGGCAAGGCTAGGAATGGTAGAGAACCAAACAAACCTGAAATAACCCAGCGAAATTTGTTGAGGGAACCCAGACATTTGTGGAGAGTGACGTGCATTTTTGCTTGAGACGTCTGTACTCTGTAGAACGGGAGCATGCATTTTCACGTTTGAAGGGTAAAAGAAAACCGTAGAGACTATAGTGAGAGACTCTGATGTTCTACGTTTCACGAGCAGTAAACAACACAAATCCATTATATAATATAAACTCATTTTATCCTGCTCCAATGCAATCCTGTCAATTCATGACACGGTTTTTGCATTAGTTCTAAATTCATTCCTGTGACACGATTACGAAAATGACACGCCAAAAGAAACACATACTTCTGAGAAACGATCAAACCAACAAACATAAACAAATCTCTCAAACCCCCTGAAGAAATATTCCACCAAGACATCCTAAATTATTTATTTTCCCGGTAATCTGATCATGCTAGTTGGTTATTCAGATTTCATAGTTTCGCTACCGAGCGTTGGTACGCACGCTGAGCAGCGCAGGAACCAGTTAACCACGTGCCGCACCAAACTAGCAACAGATGCATCAACTGAAAAGGTGAACACAAAATGCATGCAATCACAACGGCTTCACCGTTTCATGCTGCCCCCAATTTTGGTTGACATCTGTCATAATCATGTAAACAGCATGATGCTGACAAAGGCTGAGTTCAACAGATTTTTGCAATCATCATCTTCACAGGCCACTTTTGATTCATCATTGAATTCATGGTGGCTGGAAACTATTATCATGAAAGCAACCTGCTGCTCATAGAAAAGGTTGTCTCAAGGTGACGCGATAAAACAGCATTGTGATTTCTGAAGGAGTTAACAAAATAAGGGATGATGAACTATTATCACAAGATGATCCAGAGAATGTACAACCACCTGATATCCCATGAGCGTGAAAAAAGGGGTGAAAAAGAAAAGCTAAGAATAATCTAATCTTATACCTTGCTATCAGTACACTAGTCACCAAGTTTGAATCTAAAAAGGTTTTACAAGAACAACGCAGAAGAAATCACGCAACAGTTAATCACAACTGATGCTCTCTTCCTTTTCCTTTTCTTCCTCTTTTTTTTCTTTTTTTTTCTTTTTTGGTCTTCTTGCATTCTTAAATTCGGTGCTGTTTTTAAAAAGAGCTTCTTAGCTATGTAGGAACTGAGAATGGAGCAAGGGAATTTGCAGGGAGAGTAACACCACCCCCTCGAAGAGAAACTGAAGGTCGGCTCCAGTTAGCAGTGGTTATGGCATTCGAATCAAAGAACACCACAACAACTGTTATATCATCATGGAAGTGCCGCCTTACCCCACGATCAATTTTCTTCAGATCTGAATACCTCATCTCCCTCTTTTTTGCTGCCTGCTGCATTGCAGCCTTTACTAGTCTTCTAGCAATCCCCTGATACGCAGGAAGTTATAGTAGCATTAGTAAGATAAGCAATTAATTGTTATCTGTAAGATGAATAAAAGCACAAAAAAATAGAGAACAAGATTTCATTTGATGAGGCTGGGTTGCACTACATGATCTGGAACTAATAAGTTTAGAAAACCATTTAAGATGGATCCGTAGTGAGCATCTTGAGGTGGACAGATATAGTGTGTGAAGTTGCAAGGAATATGAACAAATTAGCAACGTAACAGCTCATCAGTATTGATCTTCATGTATAGTGCATATATTAATAGGATCCATATCATATCAACAATTGAAGAATTTCAGTGCAAACAATTTAACTATTTAAGTGACACATGTATTTTCATGAATCGAATTCATTCAAGGATTAAGAATCAAATAAAGTGATAGGAAAAGGATTATACAGCGTAAAGAAAGAACCTGCTAGATTATCAGGGGCATAGGATTGGATGGGGAAAAATTACAGAATTCGGACCAAATACAGTGCAGTTGTCTCAAACAACATTAACAAATTGATCATACCCCTAATAGCAGATCCCGTACAAATCTGAATTCCTAAAACACCTACAGGGCTACAACCAATAAACAGCTACAATCCTAAAGGCTTTCTAAACTCACAATGTAAAGGTGCCTTCATAATTTCATATGGTATCGTATTAACATATACCTAACAAGTTCTTTCTGAATATTTGTTACATTTAAAAGAAACTTAGAACAGCAAGTTCTAAAGATATTCAACATGATCTTCTCTACTTTCTCAGACAATTGACATCCAATCATCTATTTACCCTAATGATAATAACAATCAAAGCATGTAACTATTACAAAAACGTATCAAGATTTCTTTTATTGGACAAGCAATAATATGAACAAGCACTTCGCCATTGAAATAATTAATTTACATAAGATAAGAACACATACATTGCGGGGATTATGTTGGACAAGATCAACTGCTTCCTGATTACTAATATGCTCCCATAGTCCATCAGATGCAAAAATGATGAACTGATCAGTTGTCTGTAATTGGTGTACAACAATAGCTGGTTCAGAACTAAGAAGAGGCCTCCTGAAAGTTTCTTGAAGCCGAAATTTGCTATGCAAAGGTTCTCTGTTGAACTCCGGTTTCTTCAGATACACATCTCCAATGGATCTTGTTATCTGGAACACACCATCACACCACGTAAGATGTGCTGTGGGAACGCAGCAGTCTAAACAAAATATCACGGCACCTCTTATACACACTAATTACCAGAAGCAATCAGAATAATTGTTCCTTCAGGGAGATTGCAATTGAATTCAAGAACTTTACATCATATTGGTCTTGGTCCATAACAGCAGTGTCATGTTATTGCAGTTGCATTAGTTTTAGAGATAAAAAGATCGATTCATGGTTATTGAAACTTGAAAAGAAGCATAATTATCGAATCACTTATATTTATTTAGCTGTGATAAATGAGATTTTCCTCTTACCAAACAAAGAAACAAAAGACACTAAATTCTGCAGAAGTTGCCATCACATAGCATGTTCTAAAGGGTTTGAAATTACCAGATTAATTGGGAAAAAGAGAAACATGTACACTTATTTTATGAAGGCAGGTCCAGATTATAACAGTACAGATGGATGGCGTACATAATAGAGCATTACTCCATCCGTATCAGAGAAGTACAATTCTAATTTTGGACATAAACCTAAGAGTGGCACAGCAAACACAATTATGCTTTCAGTTGGCTGACTATAATCTAGTCCCGTGCCAATCGCATGGGAAAGTCTGCGAGTTATTATTAGAACAAGACGTCAAGATTCTACAAAATAATTAGATGAGTCAAAATGAATAGACAACAAATAGCAAAATAATTAAGATGTCCAGATATGTACCTGGATAATACCCTTCACACGCCAAACATTGTGCTTTAGAACCACAATATGGGGATCATCAGGATGTGCTGCCTGCAGCTCTCGCCTGACCTCTTCAAAGGATGCATTGTGTTCTGCTGACAACTGCATAGCCAGAACCTCCCCAGTTCCCTTCACAAGTCTACCGAGAACAGCACGGGAATCGCCAAGGTTTGCAATATATAGATTTCCAGCACAGATCACACCAACCAGACAGCAAGAGCCTACTGCCGCTAATTGAGGCCTCATCGACCATTGACTACTAACTACAGAAAAGAATCCCTCCTCAGTTGCTCGAAACGCCTTCCGAATCACATCCGCTGACATGCACTTGTGCTCAGAAGCAAATCCTGAAAAAGGAAGGTAATCATGGGCATGCACAACTGATGATTAGCAAGTAATTAAAGCTATAGAGATGCACAGGCAGAAATGATTATTAGCAGTTACTTGTAAACAAATAATTATACAATCAGATGTAACTAGAAGATGCCATGCTTTATATTCATAAAAAAATTCTTGCAGTCAGTTTCTAAACTGGCATGTGATGTGTTTAATTACATTCCAGAAAATCATCTATGGGTCAAAATTAGGGCAATCCTGGCCCCTGGTCTAATAGTAGATGCATTCAAATACGCGCGCGCTTTTTCGCGGTAATATGCGCAGAACCACATCTCATGCAATGATGCAATGCAGCTTATAACAGATATCTACTCAACTGAAAACCATTTTCGCTCAACAACTATCAATATCAAACACATCTACACTTGCAGCACATCATAAACAATTGGACCAATCACCTATTAATCAGATAGCATAGCGAGATCGGCATTGGATCAAAGGGTGAAGATTTTCAGCAGCAGTAGTCAGTAGAGGCCTCACCCCTCAGATGGTTGAAGAGATGGTCATTGATGTAGCGCGCCGTCTCCGGGCCTCCATGCCCATCATAGACGCCCACAAGAGTGCCCTGCAGGTTGGGATCCGTGGTGCTCAGTGGCCCGGATTCCACCTGGCTGTGGTCCTCGAGCAGGTTGTTGGCCTGGACCACGGCCATCGAGAACTCGCCGGCGACGAGCTGGCCGGCGTCCTTGTACCACAGCAGCCCATCCTGCCGCCCCGCCGCATCCGATCCTTTGCGGGGGCGCCCGGCCGGCGACGACGCCGGGCCCCAGCAAGATCTCAAGTATTCCATCGCAGCAGATAGCATCCTTCATCTCCGACACCTCCCCATCGCCCACTTCCTCACAAAGCCCATTCCTTTACCTTCCCTCTCCTCCTCTCGTTTCTTCGCGAAACCTGCAATTGCATCCAAACAAACACGCATCCCAGGATCAAGAACCACAAACCATATGATCATCAGAGGGAGAAGGATCAACGAGACAACCCTACTCTACTTGCATTTTGGAACATAAGGAGAAAGAAGCGAAAAATAACTCGCCTTTTTTTTCTCTCTTTCTTTCTAGGATTAGCTTCGAGATTCCTGCGCGATCGATCTCGCAGCCGAAAGGGGTGGCCTTAGATCTGGAAGGAACCAATCGATCTCAAGCTCGGAGGAAGCAGCAAGGATTGGGTTTTTGGTGGAGAAACGGTGGGCTCCTCCTCTCCTCTCCAGGATCCAAAAGAAGCAACCAGGAAACTGAACCAAGACGACTAAAAAAAGATGCGCTTTTTCGCTTCTCCCCCCCTGCCTACCTCTCCTGCCAAATCTTGCAGACAGCCTCGATGAACAGATAGATCAGGGTATCTTTTTTATCTCCTCCTCCACTACACAAACAAACTGCACAACACAATCAAGAGAGGAGGAAGGGAAAAAAAAAACTGCAAAAGAAGCAACCAGGAAGAGAGAGAGGTTCAGGGCCAGCAAGGCAGGGGCTCAGAGATGGGCTCTACAAGTCCTAATTTCTGAGAGGGATTTGGGAGTGGTGGTGGTGACTGTTTTTGTGCCCTTTTGTTCCATTTTAAATCTCTTTTTTTCTTCTTCTTTTCTTGCTCTCTACACCTTTCTTACCTAGAAAGAAAAGAAAAAGGGACATTTATGTATGTAGCTCTACTATACTAGTACTACTCTTTTTTTCCTTTCCTCTCTATCTCTTTTCTTTTCCTCCTCCTTGTCAATATGCATGACGTGCTGTTTTGTATCTTTGCTGGTCTCACATGGTTTGACCTGTTTTGTTTCTTCATCGCTACTCTTCAGATTTCAGATGTACTTGAAAAAAAATATATCTTTCATGTACAAATATCAGTGAAAATTAACTGCAAAAATGCAGGACTATTCGTATAAGTATTTGATCTGAAACTTAATAGAGTATTGTACCAGCTACAGTGCATTTAATTGGAGATTTGTCAAGTACTCTGAAATCTCACATAATACATAGAAATCATTCAATGTAATTTCATGCCATCTTTATGACATGTTCAAAACATATTAATCGTATTATTGTCGTATAATATCTATTTTTATTATTACAATAAATTAAATGTTTTAACAAATAAACCTAACAAATAGTTTAGAATTAGTGGGCTAAGCACTGTATTAGAAGAAATTTTGAAAAAAAAAACATACTTTGTATAGATGTGGAGTAAATAAGCCAACCATCCGATAAAATAGCTGAAAATAACTATTGTATAATAACTTAGGGTGTGTCCGTATATGCTGGTTTCCAACCCGAAAATAACATTGAAAACGGAGCAATCCCATTAACACGTGATTAATTAAGTATTTGCTATTTTTTAAAAAATGGATTAATATATTTTTTAAGCAACTTTCGTATAGAAACTTTTTATAAAAAATACACCGTTTAATAGTTTGAAAAGCGTGCGCGCGAAAAACAAGAAATATGGGATGGGAAAAAGGGGTGCTGAACACGCCCTTAGTGATGCGCCTTGCTTAACTGACAGTGGCTAATTAACTTATTTAAACCACCAGCCAAGCTCCATGCACGGATGGATCGATCGAACATGGCGTCCAAATTGGCGCGGCGACGTTCGGAGAAATTTCATGGGATTTGGACGCTAGCCGAGCCGAGGAGCAGGAGGAGAAGATTTATCGATTAAACAATGGTGACCCAACGCATTCAGCCTGCCTGCCAATTGTATGAGGTGACGCGGACGAAACGCAACTCGGCGCGGCGCGCGACACACATGGCGTTGCCGTGGCGGCGAGCGCGATGCCACGGCGAACGCGGCGCGCATGCGTGCGCCACGCCACGCCACGGCGATCGGCGCCGACGACGACTTCTCTCGCTCGTCGCTACGGAACAACGGATATGATGACATGTACTAGTACTATCTGCATTCTGTGCTTCAGCCTGAAGACTCCCATTTGGGCCTCCGGATGGATTCACATTCTCGTGGTGTTCGAATGGCAGGGTTTACATTACCGGTTGAGCACTAAATTTTGAGCCCCGTCGGTATTACGGTTTTCGATAAATTTCGACTAATTTACTATTTAACCTTTGAAATTCTAATCGAAAACTAATTCCGAGCTCGAAAACCGACCGGCTTTCGTCGGCTCTGTTAACCCTGTCGTATGATACATTTATGCTGAGTTGTAAACTTTGATTTCAATGTACAACCTTACTGTGTTTCAGTCCAAAACGGTTAAACGGTGTGTTTTGTAAAAAAAATTATATAGTATATTTTAAAAAAACAAATAAATATACTTTTACAAATTTAATAGTTAATATTTAATTAATTATATGCTAATGAGTCATCCTATTTTACTTATAGTTAACACGCTTCTCCAATAAAGAGTTTCAAACGGGGTCTTAGAGATTTAATCAAAGAGGAAAAACGTAATTTTGGTTGTGTGTCATTTCGTGGACGGGTCAAGAGATACGAGGAATGGAACGGACGGTGGTGCCATTACGCGTTTTAGTGACTAGTGAGTATATCTTGGCATGGGGTTTGGGCTGTGTTTAGATCCAAATTTTAAATCCAAACTTTAGTACTTTTTCATCACATCAACCTGTCATACACTCACAACTTTTCAGTCACATCATCTTCAGTTTTAACCAAAATCCAAACTTTGTCATCAACTAAACACAGCCTTGGTAATTTGTATTTGGTCGGTGGTACGGATAAGTTCATCATAGCTTGGATGCCGGATATTTGACATGGAGAGATAACAGTGCGCCGATATTTAAAAGTGATGTTTAAAATAGCACGAACTGAACTTTTATTTATTTTCAAACTAAAAGATATACTACCTTCTTCTTAAAATATATATCATTGAGCTTTTACGTAACATTTAATCATTTGTCTTATTAAAGAATTAGTATAAATATATAAAAATATTAGTTAAAAGCATATTTATTTAATAATAATAAAATTAAATAGAATAAATAACATATATAATTTTTTAAAAATAAAATATATAGTCAAACGTTATGCTGAAAATAAACGGCGACAGGCAGGTGAGCATCGAGCACTGGGCCGGCAGGCTGTGGCCTCGCTGGCCGCCACTCCGGCCGCGGCAGCTGGGGCCGTGGGCCCTGCTCCAACGCATCTTGAGCCGTCCGATCAAAATCCTGCGTCTCCTGTGCATGGGCCCAACGGCGACAGGTTAATCAATGGCTAGCTTCTCCTGTGCTCTCTGCGTCGCCCGGTCCCCGGTCAGAAAAATCATATAATTGTACAGTAAACTTGCATCACTATCACGTGCGGAACTCTATTATTTCTGAGAATTCTTCGTGGATTCGTGCATGTGTGAGAGCCTCGCGAAATCCCAGATACTATCTTCATCCTATAAAAAACCTAAATATAGACACATCTCTATCTAGATTTATTGTATTAAAATATGTTATATCTAATTTTTGATTTTTTTTTCAGGACAAAGGGTGTGTTTGATTTGGTTGACATAATTTCTATGAAAACTAGTACCAGTACTAACATTTTCCCCGTGAAAAGATCTGCGAATTTGATTTTACTGAAAGTATAAAGCAGCTGGTACCGTAAATTCGCGAGAAGAATCGAAAATTCGGAACCGAAGATTTCCATGACAGAGAGAGGCTGGATATATATGCAGCGACTAAAGATCTGCATAGTAAAATCTCTAGTTTTTTTTTCCTTTACTACAAAATCTGCATCTGTCACGTACATATGCTCGGTTACTTTTAAGCTTTCAATTAACAGATGGATTAATTAATTTAAGGATACTTAACTAACAGCAAACAAAACGAGAAGGCAACAGCAATAATTGAGACGCGCTTTACAAAAGCTACACAAACCAAATTCCAGTTCCTCCGATTAATCACAAATTCGCAATTCACACACACACACATCAAGAACGTACGATCGAAGATCAATCACGCACTCCATCGACGAAAGCCGTTGCGACCTTTTACCAGTTCGATCCATTGCACATGATATGAGCGATGCAGATTAATTAACTAAAGTTAGCTGCAAATCATCACACATATGCGATCGAGAATTAAGAGATTAATTGATCGGTGTCAATCGCAATTATGCAAAGCCGAGGGATAATCGCCTACATCCATGCAAAAAGGTGTACTATTGATCGATGATCTGCGCTGCAAGTGGGCAGAGGCCATGCAAACGTAATTAAGCTCGATCTGGATGTGACATCTCGAACCTTGGCATGTGATCCATCCAGCTTGAGCTTGAAGAAATAACTAGCTAGCTCGGCTCATTTCCTTATAATTAATTATTCATGGAATTATTAAAATAAAATATTTACTTCATATGTTAAAAAAATAAGTTTTTTTTATAAAAGTTCTTCTACTAGGATCATTTGTTCTAAGCTATGTGTTAAATTTATGTATCAAAATAATACTTAATTTGTTCTTGTAATAAATAGATAATCCGTGTCAATAATTCGCTTCATATAATCTAAACCAAACCATTAAGAATGCTCTCATGGATCCATCAATCATTAGTTCGAACCTTAATTTTTTTGCTCCTTAATTAATTACCACCGTTACTCTCATGGAGTATTTCTTAATTAATTTGTCTGTTACTATTTCTGATAGATGATTCCTTTGCGGCGAAAATATTAATTGTATATTAGTCAGGTCGTGGAAAGCGGTCAAAGTGGCCGGGTGATTTCTTGGAGTGTAATTTACGGCAGGAACTACGAAGGATTAATACTCACTGACCCGGTTGGAGTCAAGCGGCAAAATTCTACGGTGACGATGCTGATGATGGCGTAAACGTTATGTACATATGCATATGCAATGAGCAGTTACTGATTAATTAAGTACAGTACTACAGTGTTGTATTGTTCGTGCATATGCATATATACGCAATGATCAGTTACATGTTCATAAACTGAATGAATTTAACTGAAGAATTATACGCATGTTTACTTATCGGGACGACCAATACATATTTAACACAAAACCCTCTACTAAAATCTTACGAATTTTGGATCATTCGATCAAGATCGAACACCCCACAACCCACCCCACAACGGCACAGCCTTCCCCCTTTCCTTCTTCAGATCTTCCTCTTAGCTCGCGAAGCATGCTGCTGCCCTCTACCCTTAATTTATTTATGAGCTCCAACGATCCCTCCATTAGTAGGTGCCAATACCCCACCCTCCTCCTCTATCCCTGACAATCTCTATCATCGAATCCGTCATTATCATTCGCTACCACCTATCTAGTTAGCCAATATTTTTCCACCTCATACCCCTTTTCCATCTCATCGACGTCGCTCTGCGCCTTCTAACCTCTTCGCTTTGCCCCTACCCCCTATCCTGCCCATTGCTAACCTCCCTCTAAGGCATGAAACTCCTCTGGCTTCCACCTCTCCCAACCCCTCTTTCACCTTAACTCTAACACCCAAACCTACATGGATGTTAGGCCAACACCATCACACCGAAGTAACTCGTCGGAGCTAAAGGAGAAGAAGGTTGGGCAGGATGCGATGATCCAAAATCCGTAAGATTTGGGATTCTGTTTTTGTCGCATGTAGGACTTTTTTTATTGTTTATATAGATGTGGATTTTATAACTATATATATAGTGCCATGAGCAGTATAATACTCCTTTTAATTTCTTAGAGTCGTATAACCTGCCAGAAAAATGCTCTAGTACGTGCACGTACGGCCGGCCGCCCTCTCTAGTTGACCTGGTAATTTAATTAGTTTGTATGCTGGATCTAATAATGGCTGAGTCGGATTAGCATCATCAGCTGGATGCTACGTGCAATCTAAATTATGAATGTTGTGCTTGCCTTGACCATCGATCGATGGAATGGGATTCGATGGCATGCAAATGCACGCATGCACCCTCCATTATTCTTCCCAAGGGGATCATCATGATATTTGACCTAGCAAGATAGCAGGTAATTAATTAGTTTAAGATGGGTTTAATTAGAGAGTCCGGCTAGCTAGGTAGCTGACTCGGATCAACATCAGCTCAAATGTTCTCTCAAACTCTGCTGCTCGACGTGATTCTCGGCCATACTGTTCAAAAAAGACTTCAATTTTAATATATCTTATATTACCTCCATCCTGAAAAAAATATTTTTATACGACTCATTTTTATACATGTAGATGTAGATAAGAGTGAAACGTACCAACGTAAAGCTAAAATGACTAAACCTTACATTTTTTTTTCTTAAACTCCAATACATTTATTCCCCCATTTTCTCAAACTTCAATGAAATTGTCCTTCATTTTCTCAAATTATAATATTTGTTTTAAAGATAAAAGTATTTGCAGGATAAATAAAGAGGAAACAAAATAAAGCCCGTGTAGGGCGGAGGGAGTAGCAAATTCAGCGAGCACAATCGGCAATCATGCTTTGTTTTTTTTTCTTCCTTTGTTTTTATTGCGATACGATGCATCAGAAGTTAAAATTAAACAGAGGCACGCGTCCGATGACTCGATGAGTACGATGAGGCCACCTGCTGTGACGTACTCCTTCGTTTCAAAATAAATCGATCTCTTACCGCATATAATATAATGAATCTGATATTTAGATTCATTGTATTATGATGCATTATATTTCGTATGGGATTGATTTATTTTGTAATGGAGGCAGCAGTATAGACGATGTTGGTATTAAAGTTAATGATTAAATTGGTAATAATTTTCAAACCCATAAAGGTCTTAGGCAAGGGGGAATTATCTTCAATTCTTTTTAATATAGTGGCTGATATGCTTGCTTTACTGATTAAGATTAAGAGGGCTAAAGATGCTAGTTCTATAAATGGTGTAATTCCTCATTTGGTAGATGATGGTTTATCTATATTGCAGTATGCAGATAATACTATCATTTTTCTAGAGCATAATTTACAGCAAGCAAATAATCTAAAATTGATTTTATCCGTATTTGAAAAGCTCTCTGGTCTGAAAATTAATTTTCACAAAAGTGAATTGTTTTGCTTCGGTCAAGCGAAGGATCATTACGATCAATATTCTAATATGAGTAAAATGCACCAGCGATCCTTAAACTTGTCAGGAGATTTCACTTCGGTCCACGAACTTGCAAAGCGCATATTAAGGCCCCTAAACTTGGTTTATTGTATCATCTCGGTCCAAAGCCGCGTTTGACCGTGGTCTTGCCTACATGGCACGTGTCACGCCCAGAAATTTAACCCAAATTTCTAGACTATTTTGCGTATTAAATCCCTGTCCAGGACCAGCCAGGGTACACAAAACGACAAGTAATATACAGTTCCAAACGTAAATAAAGCGTAAAATACTTACGAAAGAGGCACTTAGTCCTCACACCGAAACAGAACGACAGCAGCGGAAAAAGGCGATCCTAGCGGGGCTTCAGCTCCACTCCACAGGCAAAACTCAACTGGGGTCTGAGCCTTGGTCCTCTAACTCCATCTTCAGCTCAGAAGCACTACACTTCTGAAAAGGGGGAATAAAAGCAAGACTGAGTACAACCACCGTACTCAGCAAGCCACACTAACGATGCAGATGTGCAAGGGGATACAAGGATGGTTTGTGACTATTTGCATAAAGGCGGTTGTAAAACATTTTATTGAGCAAAACAGTAAAACTGTTGAGTAATTAAAGTAACATTAAATCTCCATTGATCAACGCTACACCACGTTGAACAGGCCCAACCAACCCACCTGAACTACAGTGTATTGGGTCGATTTATTAAGATGGGACTAATCACGGTGAATCTGGTCGACCGCCCATAACCGCGGGCACGGCTATTCGAATAGCTTTACTCTGATCAGAGGTGTACAACTGTACCCACAAGACACAGCCCCACAACACGTTTCCGTGCGCCGACATGCCACCACGACATACCGGAAAGAGGCCGTGACAGGACCCTTCGCATAACCCCCTCTAGCCAAGCACACCACACCTCAGGTTTCACCCCCGTCCCCAGCGGGCAACGGGCAGTCCCCTCTCGTGCCTAGGTGAATCTGGAAGCGACAGAGGCCGTCGCAGGGCCCGCCCCGCTCCATCACGCCCACCCTTGCCTGGATGCGTCGACTAGAGGAAAGCTACACTACAAGCCCAGCCGTTGTCCACGCTGGCTTGTGGTAAGTACGATAAGTTCTTCCAGGGCATCCCGCGAACCGGTCCTTAACTGCCATGGGTGCGACCAGCAAAACCATGCACCCACAGCCCACCATTCAGTCGCATTTTAGTTGGATAATTACGACCATGAAGCATGGCCAGATGTCTCGAGCACGCAGCTCATTCTGATACTAAAAGGTCTAATACGGTAATTATCCCATCAACTGAGCTAATGGTAATTAAGCATGGCTAAGCATATAGTTCTAGCTAGGTCACATAAGTAACATGAGCTAGTCGATTTATTACCCAATGTTGACAAAGGACATATATCAAGTAAATATGGCACAAGCGAGCAGATAGGTAAAACCCTGACCCCATGTAATTAGCAAAATATGCATATTTATTTGCAAACAGTAAAACATTTGCAAATTGGGATCAACATGCTCAAGGGGAATGTGTGACTTGCCTTGCTTCTTCAAACAATCTTCCGAACTCTTATCCTGCGACCGTGATCTTCCGAAACGACGGATTCTACACGCAGGCACGCAAAACGAGGAAAAACTCTAATAAAAACCAAGGAAACAGTACATAAAAAGTAAACAAACATGTAGAGCTCAATTTTAGATGAATTTTGCAAGTTGAATGGCTCAATTCGGAGTTCGAATGAATTAGATATGAATTTTAGAAGTTTTGAGCCATTTAAATGAATTTCTAGAATTATTAACGAATTATTGTGCAATTGTTAATTATTTTATCAAAGGAAAAGGCTCCTGCTGGCGTCATCAAAGGGCAGCGGCGCCGACAGGCGGGCCCCACACGACAGCGGGCAAGGGAGTGGTCCACCGTGGACTGGGACCACGGGGTGGTCCATCGCCGGTCCACGGGAACCGACGGCCCAGATCAGCCCGAGCTGATCGGGCTGCCACGGGGTGGCGCGGCTGAGCACGAGCACGGCTCAGGCCGGCCCGGCTGAGCGACGGCTCACGGCGGCGCGGCCTCCTGCGGCGACGGCCGACGCACGCGGGAAAGCGGCGGTGCGGCGCGGCAAGGGGATCCGGGCGGCCTAGGCGAGCGGGGCGGCGACAAGCCGGCCGGCCGACCTAACGGCGGCGGCGCACGGCCCGGTGGTCGCCGGCGGCGGCCACCGGCGCGGCAGCACGCACGGGAGACAGAGGAGGGAGGCAAGGAGGGAGAGGAGGAGCTCACCAAGGACGCGACGACGAGGGGCGGGGAAAGGCGGGGAAGCTCGGCGTCAGCGCTCCTCGGGACGAAGGCGGAACGGCGGCCCGGCGGCGTAGGGTGGAGGTGGCTTGGGATGCACGGTGGAAGGGTGGTTGCGGCGATTAAATGGGGAAACGGAGCAGAGGCCGGGGTGCGGCGAGGCACGGAGAAGCCGGCGGTGCAAACGGCGCGGCGCGGCAGTGGCTAGGGCGGCGGCTAGAGGTGGCTGGAGCTCGCCGGGGACCGATGGAGAGAGGGAGCACGGTGGAGAGGTGGTTCGCGTGGTGGAAGGGGAGGAAGAAACGGCGGCCGAGCGTGCCCTTGAGGTGGCAAAGCCAGCGGTGGCGGTGGAGCAGTGCGGCGGCGACCCTAGCGACGGGAAACCGCGGCCGGAGTTCGCCGGAGTGTGGCGGCGCGCGGGGGCGGCGTGGGGAGAGCGAGGGAGAGAGTGCCGGGCCCGGGAAACAAGGGGAAATGGACGAGGGGAGCACGGGGGCGCTTTTTATGGGCTCGGGAAGGCGGGATCGAGGCCGGACGTGGCGGAATCGGCCGACGAAGTGGGGCGCCGACGTGGGGTGGTGGAGGGGTTAACTGTGGACCCCCGTTTTTATAACAGGAATCATTCGTGTAAACAGTACCATTTCCCTGGATCAAGTAGTCTGGTACACACGAGTTTATAGCTGAAATACCAAAAGCACATACACGAGAGTCTAATGCTAATTATTACATCATAAGCCCGCAGGCATTGTCTTAAATCATCGGACCGAGCGGTCCGGAATACATCCAAAAGCAGAAATAGATAAGGCAGCGGAATTCAGGCAGCGGCATGCCATTGCCACAGGCAACGACCGTACTAAGACCTACTGAGCGCCATCGTCTTCATCTCCCTCCTGGTAGTAGGCATAGGGATCCTCCGAAGCTTCATCTCCCGCTTCTGATTAATTTTATATTTGCAAAGGGTGAGTACCAACCGTACTCAGCAAGTCAACACAGCAACAATGCATATGAAAGGGGTATTTCAAAGGATGGCTATGGCTCTTTTGCGCTAAGCCAGTTTTGTAATTCTTTTCACAAACCTAAGACCTAGCATTGACTGATCAAATTTTAGTACCAGTGTTTGTATTTAAACAACGACGGTTCTGTCCACCATCCATTGTGATCCCAAGGATAGCTTCCCGCCATTGAGTCGTTATGGTTTTCTGAGGACGCCCACCTTCCCCCTTCT